CAGGAGAGTCTGTTGGAGAGACCCACGGGGTCCTAGAAAGTATACAAACCCACTGACACAGGAATCAGCACCAGAAGGGCCCAATTTGCTTGTGGGTAGTGGGGGAAGTGACTGAAAGCTGGGCAAGAGCAGAGCAAGCAGCACTGTTCTCTCTCTGACCCCTCCCCAACACACAGTGTCACAATGCAGGAACAGGGATTGCAAATACCTAAGGCTCTGCCCTGGCCAACATAACAGGCACGCTGAGACAAAGAAATATGGCCCAAATGAAAGAACATGTCAAAGCTCTAAAAATAGAACTAAGCAAGGAAGAGAGCCAACCTATCAGATGCATAGTTCCAAACACTGGCAATCAGGATGCTCACTGAATTGGTTATGGTCCCAAAATGGAGGAAATAGTGAAGGCTATGCAAAGTGAAATAAAGAAAATTATACAAGGAACCAACAGTGAAGAGAAGGAAACTGGGACTCAAATCAACGATTCGGAGCAGAAGGAAGAGATAAACATTCAACCAGAACAGAATAAAGAAACAAGAATTCATAAAAAATGAGGAGAGGCTTAGGAACCTCTGGGACAACTTTATACATCTAACATCTGAATCACAGAGGTGCCAGAAGGAGAAGAAGAGTAAGAAATTTTAAACTTATTTGAAAAAATAATGAAGGAGAACTTCCCCAATCTAGCAAAGGAAAGAGACTACCAGGAGATCCAGGAAGCTCAGAGTCCCAAAGAAGTTGGACCCAAGGAAGCCTACACCCAAGGCATATCATAATTATATTACCCAAGATTAAAGATAAGGAGAGAATATTAAAAACAGCAAGAGAAAAGGAGACAGTTACCTCCAAAGGAGTCCCCATAAGACTATTGGCTGATTTCTCAAAAGAAATCTTGCAGGCAAGAAAAGGCTGGCAAGAAGTATTCAAAGTCATGAAAGGCAAGGACCTACATCTAAGATTACTCCATCCAACAAAGCTATCATTTAGAATGGAAGGGCAGAAAAAGTGCTTCCCAGATAAGGTCAAGTTAAAAGAGCTCATCATCACCACCAAGCCATTATTAAATGAAATGTTAAAGCTACTTATCTAAGAAAAAGAAGATCAAAAACTATGAACGGTAAAATGACAACAAACTCACAACTATCAACAACTGAACCTAAAAAAAAACCAAAACAAACTAAGCAAACAACTAAAACAGGAACAGAGTCATAGAAATGGAGATGAGAGGGGAGGGGAGGGGGGAAGAATGGGGAAAAAGGTACATGGAATAAGCAGCATAAATAGTAGGTACAAGATAGGCAGGGGGAGGTTAAGAATAGTATAGGAAATGGAGAAGCCAAAGAACTTACATTTAGGACTCATGGACATAAGGGGGGTGGGTATGCTGGGGAGAGGGGTGGTGCAGGGTGGAGGGGAATAAAGGGGAGGAAAAAAATGGGACAACTGTAATAGCGTAATCAATAAAATATATATTAAAAATAAAAATAAAAGGATATTTATCTGTAAAAATTTACACTTGTGCATTTTTTAGTGTTTTTTTATCTTCTATGCTTTCCTTACCCTTATTATCTAAAAATTTGCCTCTCCCAGTAGTTATGAAATGAATATAATGCTTTTTAAACTTTAAAATTTATATTATATGGTCCTCAGTGAAAAAGCTGTCAAAGGACTCTAACCAAAAATGTATTCCCTTTTCCAGTGAAACTAGTTATTTTGCAGTGTAGCAGACAATTAAGTGTTTGGCACATTCAACTATATTTTAAATAGTTGATTTTGTTTTATATTTTAAGTGTTCTGATGTCTTACCTTTTCTGGTTAAGAAATGTTGCTAGTTTGCTAAAGGAATAATAGCAATGATATGTATCATCATTAAATACTGAATACAAAACTTTCACTTTATACAAGTTTATGGGAAAAAGAAAAACATCTGAATTTTCTGATCTGTATTTAACATTAATAATCAAATGCCAAAAATATACTTTAAAATGTCTAGAACATCATTAGCATTCTCACAGAAAAAAAATGACATGCTTACCACAAATACTCATTTTAAAATAATCATTTTCAATTTAGAGACATAAAAAATCATTACTGTAAATTTATCAAGATAAAAAATTCACAGTTCTTATAACTGTATTATCACAAGATACAATAAAAACTCTTAAAATAGTTTATTTTGCTATGTAATATGCAATGAAAAGCAAAAGTATGGATTTCTAACTGTTATCAGAAAAAAGGTACTTTTTTGAAAATTCCTATTGCTTAGTTGGTCTACTTTCAAAATTAATCATAATGCCCTGGCTTATGTGGCTCAGTGGATCAAGTACCGGTCTGCAAATCAAAGGGTCACCAGTTCGATTCCCAGTCAGGGCACATACCTGGATTGTGGGCCAGGTTCCCAGTAAGGGTGTGTGAGAGGCAACGACACATTGATGCTTCTCTCCCTCTCTTTCTCCCTCCCTTTCCCTCTGTCTAAAAATAAGTATTATCTTAAAAAAATTAATCATAATAGTAAAATAATTCAGAACTTTATGAACATTCATTTGTACTATAGTTTTAATTAATTAAAAAATAATAAATCCTTCATTTACATTTAAAGGGGAGTTCACAATGCAAATTAAATTTAATTAAAAAATAAATTACTGATTTGTGCACATTAACATCATGTTTGTTGAGAATTCTGACATGCTAAGCTAACATCTAATAAATATTTTCCATCATTTTCTTATATTACAAAGCTTAGGTCATAGTTAAATTTTATATCACTAAAAGAATTAGTACATTGACTATATAAAAAACATGTAGAGAGAAACAAAATTTAGTTCATTAGACCATTATTTCAAAGAAAATTCAACTGAGAATTTATACCAGAAGAAGGAAACAGTGACTTTTAAATTCCTCTCCTAGTACTATGTTTATGACAACACTTTCTAAAAGAAGATTTTTGGGGGTTCCACACATGTATTTCATCTTTAATATACAATACTTTGACACAGATTAGGTTCTCAGAAAAATGAAATACTCTAAACTGATCAGTTTTTCTTTGGCCAAATTTAAACAGTAAATACTAAAAAAATACATATTAATGTTGCCTGCATTCATATCAACCTTTCTAAAACATTATTTTATACTCTTGGTCAACAATGTATACTAAATACATGTGCAATTTGATTCTTGGGGCTTTATAGTTATGTTTAGCAGGTCAAACATGCAGGGCTGCTTACTTATGACCTAAAATTTATCAGGCTCCTTTGCTGCTTTAGTTGGTGAGCTTTCAGAACAATAAAATATTGCCTTCATAAAGTGAGATTTCAGAATTCTGCCTGATATGGAAAGCCACCACTGCTTGGTTCCTGCCTTGGTTGACTTTCTGTTCATAGATTTTGTCTCTCCAACCGTCAGTTGATCTGCTTCACAGGACTGTTGCTTCTAATTCCAAAACTGCCTTCATTATCTACTGTCTTTTCTTCTTCCTCTTTTTTTTTCCTGTTTCTTTTTCTTTTTTCCAGTTTCTCTCTCTCTCTCTTTCTCTCTCCCTTCTTCCCTCCTTCTCTCTCTCTCTCTCTCTCTCTGTCTCTCTCTCCCCTCCTCTGCTTTTAGACCTTTGGCTTCACCATTTAGTGAGTGAAATGCCATTTTCTGGTTAGCAAACCAATGAATCACATAATTCATGTCTTCTGTAAATGTCCCTTAGTTATTGTCTGTATTCAGAATAGTTTCTGGGTTCTTAAAAACAGATGAGCATCACATAACTTAGATATCCCTACAGCCAGCTCAACCACTAAGTGAATGAACCATGTTTTAAATATTCTGTATTATTTGGCTACCTTGTTCCACTCCAACGGTTAAAACACATAGGTGCAGATAATTTTTTGGTCACTTTATTTAAGATTCAGCAAGTGGTGGGATAACTATTATGATAGTACTTATAATGGGGCATACTTGAAAGATAATTTATGTAATGGTATTTCTGTCTAGAAACAACTAAATCTGAGTGGTTAAACAAAGAACAACCTGGACTTCAAGTCAGGTTCTTTATATTAATCTGTGCTCAGCAAAAATGGCTGAAACTGAGACCTACTAAATAGCCATTAAGAATGTATTTTTAATTTTTACAGGTCTGTGAATATTCCATAATAAGAATTTATCCCTTTCTAACATTTCACATTAATAAGATCAGTCTTAACAAATGTTTTTCTCTTAGAACACACTAAAAACAGGGCTAAAATTAGTTTACCAATTATTTATTTAATACTAATCTCAATAGAGCTATAAATTTTATTCTGCTAGACTTCGAAGTTAGTCATTTCCTTTTTTATCCAAATAAAAAAATAAAGCATAGAAAATTACTCTTAAAAATTAGAAAAGAGATGTTATGGAAATTAAAATGTTTTAATAATTTTAAAAGCAAGATTATCACATATAAGCTAATAAATTATAAAAAGAAAGCTTAAAAGAAAGGCAGAAAGCATCATAAAGATTCTTTTTGAGTCAAGAAGACTTGGTGTTTTAATCTTTAAATAAACACATATAATTTCAGTATTAGGGTGTTTAGGAAAAGGGAAAAAATTGTTTAAAATATTTACTTTTCATGGTATCATGAACACTTAGAAATCCAAAACCCCAAATGGCCAGAATCATAATGCGCAAAACATGAAGCAGCCTCATTTGAAATGTTTTTTTCCAGTCATTTCAAGCCATAGTTTGATTTGCCCTGATTAATACTGACATTTCTTTATTTCAACACATTAATAATATATTAAAATCTGAGGAACAGTAAACATCTGAATAAAGAATTTAAAAGAAGAATAAAAATGCGGTGATGATTTTCTAAAATGCTAATCATTGTTTTAAATCAAAACTATGGCTTGCTTAAAATAAATTATCAATTTTCTCTAACAAGTGCCAAACAAAACAAAACTGGCCCACTATACCCCAACCCCTCCAAAATAACATAAAGCAAGCTAAGCTGTAAAAGCCTATTTCTAAAGCTAATATCTTGCCTGCAAGACTGGGAGGGCTATAAGAACTGAAGGTTGAAAGAGCTTTGGAAAAGCTCACACATTCCATGGAGAATACCACTACTTGGTGGGGGGTAGGCATAGCAAAGTGCCTTCCTGCCAAAGAAAGAAAAGAGAATCTGTATTTGGGATAGAACAAAAACCAATGTTACAGTATATATCAACAAATAAAAATTTCAATAGTGAAAGATAAAGGAAACTACAAATGATAGTTCTAATTACCGGTACGTGAGTATCTTAAAGTTTGACATTGCACCAGAAACTTTATACTGCATTTTCACCATAAAACTATTTGTTCAGGATTTAAGAAAATGGTCTGTATCAAGATCTTCCTGAGAATAAATTAAAATATAATTACATTTGCCAAAGTTACCATTTAGATGAATAAATGAAGCCTGTCTTTTTTTTTTTAAAAAAAAAGATAAAACAGATTAAAAACTAACCAGATAATGATTTTGAGTGTATCTGTCCTTTGCTGGAAACATGTGCACCTCCACCAAACACAGCAGACCACATTTTTTCATTTAGAGGATGTGCCACAATCCGAAATAGTTCATTACTTGAATGTGTTGCCAAGCCATGGATGAAGAGACTGAGATACACTGCTGTGAGAATCTCACAGAGCAAAATTGTAAGCCCTGACTGGGCTTCCTCACCAGAAGAATTCAAAAGTCGGATTAGAGACGTTATTCCTAGAAGAAACAACAAGCATAAATACCATTAACAATAAACATAACAAGTAAGAAATTAACTACATTATCTAGTTTTTAAAAAAACTTTATTGCATCAGGATTAAAATATTTTCTTCTCTAGATTCACAGACTAGAAGAGGCTATTATAGTTAAGGCATGAATTCTGAGCTATTTGTTCAATTCAGAGACACTGAAAATCTGTAATCTAATTCAAATCTGACAGATATAAAAAAGTGATATAACAGAACATTTGAGTTATTTTAATATAATTATGAGGGAAATACTAAAGTTAAGTAGCTGCATAATTTGTAAGGAGTGGGGAATATTGAACTGGTATCAATCCTAACAGTATTTAACATGATTACCATACAGCAAAACCCAAACAAACCTACTTTTTCCTTATGTGATTAAATTCAAGCTAAGAAAAACTCATACAAATACAAATTATTTATACCTGGCCACTGAGCTGGTGATGTATTGGGAGTTATTGCTTCATCTAAGCTTCCTGTTTTCAAAGAATGTCGATGGGGAAGCAGTACTGTCTGATACACCATTCCAGTAAACTGATTCGTTTGGAACGAACTAAGAGAAGAAAAAATTTAAATAATAATAAACTACAATGACCTATATAACAACAATATAATAAAACAATAATAATATGCAATAATCCAAAACAGATTTCAAATATTCTATGTTTTATTATTTTTAAGATTTTATTTTTACAGAGAGGGGAAGGGAGGGAAAAAGAGAGGGAGAGAAACATTGATGTGCAACAAATACATCAATTGGTTGCCTCTCACATGCCACCAAATGGGGACCTGGCCTGCAACCCAGGTGTGTGCTCTGACTGAGAATTGAACTGGCTACCTTTTGGTTCATAGACCAGTGCTCAGTTCACTGAGCCACACCAGCCACAGCATAATATTCCATGTTTTAGATTTAACTTCTAGAGTACCTTAAATAAAAATTTTTGTTTGTTAGTTATACTGCTATTACATCTACATTATACTCCATAATCTAATGCTATATTAAAACAAAGTGTCCTTTAATTATAAATATACAAATTTTCTAAAAACACATGTAATAGGTTTTAAGTACATTTACTTAAAGACACAGAATATGTACAAATGAGAAAACTGAATTACTATTGGTCACAAGTAGCAAGCTTATATATCACTCTTTAAAACAAGGTTATCTGGTTGAAAACAAAATCATTTTAATTTTAATTTGATATTTAATGGCTAGACTACCTACATCAGGGTAGGCTGCGTGAAGTATATGCACCAGGTTCCAGGCAAATAATAAAAAACATGGTTTGTGTTGCTCATGAAATTTACAGCCTGGTGGGGAAATCAGACACAAATAATTTTTTAAGATGGTTTTTAAAGGCAAAACCTATACATACAGTGCCATGAAAGCAAAAGACAGGAGCATTTCACATAATTTGGGAATTCAGGGTGCTTCTCCAAGTAAATGGCACTTTAATCTAAAACTAAACAGATAAATGAACAAATAACTTTCAGCTTGACATAAACTATGAAATACAACAGAAAATGGTGCATATTTTTAACCTGTCAGAAATTTCTATCTCATATGTTAAGTAAAGGGATATAGTGTTTAAATATAGCACATTTAATGGTTTAGGCCTGTTCTCATTGACCAGTTTATTAGTGATAGCATTTTCATGTATTTGTAAATAGTTTATCTTGCTTTACTTTCCAGTTTCAAGATGGCAGAGTAACAACAAAAAAATCCCATTATAGTAAATGGATATGATAAAAGAGATAATAATATGTTGATGAAAGTAAAGTCATACTCAATAACAAGAAAATGAACTCCTGAAGAACCAGGGTCAAAAAAATCAAACTTAGGAATATATAACCAGAATAGTAACCTTAGGCTACCCATGCGAAAATTCCAACACATAAGATAGACAGACAATAAAAAATCAACATCAAGAAAGGCTGACATCATGTAAGAGACAACAAATTCAGTGAAAGACCTGCACCTGAGGAAGCAGAATGAGCAGAACACTAAGTGCTTTCTATTCAGATAGGTTGTTTTTTTTTTTAAGAAAAAAAACAAAAACAAGAAAGACAATAAGTTATATAAAAATTTTTATATGTTTATAAAAATTATATGTTATATTACAATCAACAGAGATCTTAAAAATGAAAAATAGAATTTCTGAAACAAACTTAGGCTTAATAAAAGATAAGAAATCGCTGAAGAACGATTTGGTGTCTGGAAAATGAAGTAAGGATTTCTCCTGAAATGAAGCAAAAAGAAAGATAAGGACCATATGAGAGGAAAGCTAAAACAAAAATAAGAGGGGCCCACAAGTTCTAATATCTAATAGGAAAGGAAACAGAAGAAATAAGACGAAATATTTAAAGAAGTCAAGTCAGAGAATTTCAAAGAACTAAAGAAAGACATAGAAAGACCCCAGAGTGTTAAACAATATTTTTAAAAGCCTAGATGAATTACACTGAAACATTAAGAAAGAAAAATCAACTTCTCTGTAAAATTTTTTTCAGGGCCAAGTGATTCAAAACCTCCTCTGTCCTCCCTAAGCCTTTTTCATCATATTATACTACTTATCATTTAAGTTCTATGCCATCTTATCAGTTCATTTATCAGTTCATGTTTGTTTCTAACTTAAGGAAGGAAAACTTATCAGGTCATTAGGCACTGATCAATAAAAGGCTGCTAAATAAGTTATATTGACAAGAGTTTACTTGAGATTCGTTTGCCATAAAGATATGTTAAAATTTCAAAGATGAATAAAAGTACTCAACACTGCAGCCATATGCTTTTTGCATTATTTAAAGTGTACTGCTCTATACAGTTTTTCCAAAGCAAGAGCATAAATATCCTGAACCCTTATCAGTTTACTGCAAGCATTCTTAAATTTCACAAAGATATTTACCTGTAGTTATGACTACCACAAAGGCACTGATATATACAAGCAGAAAGGGAGGCTGCTAAAGTATGCATTACATATACCTGAAAAAAAAACAAAATTAACTTTAAGTATGTAATGTAACTTTTTTTCAAGACCTAATATCAGCATTTTAAAAAAGATGAAAAAACAATTTTACCCTTCTAAACTAATTCCTCTTTTTCCTTAATACGCCTTTCTACCTTCTGAGGTCTTACTACAGACAAAAAGTACTGAGGCCTTTGGCAGAAATTATAAAACACATACCTGCTACCTAACTTCTATTTCAGAAGCAAATGGGAAAACATTATAGCTATTCTGTAAGTGCCTGAACCATGTATTAAAAGCAAACTCTTAAAAGTTCAACCTGCTTCTTCCCCAACCAAAATACGAAAAAGCACAACCTGATAAAAGACAATTCACCTATGGACAGGTCTTTGAAGAATATGCTATCACATACTCTAGTTACTACAGAAAACAAACAATTTAAAAAGAATAAAATTTTAGAGAAAGGAGGTACGAAAGACAGCAATTAAAGGCAAATATTTGTATTGGGAAGAGGTTCTAAATAACAGAAGTAGATCTGAGGATGAAGAAGTGTAAAAACCTAGGTAAGAAAGTAGACTAGACTATTAAAAACTAGGTTCTTGATCTAATCATGAAGTATGACAGTCTTTTATGTTGATAAAAACAAGGAATGATAGATTAAAGTTTCATTATTATTTCTACTTTATTAGTAAGACATGTAGTATGAATTAAAATCAAGAATATCATCATGTAAAATGTAAAAACATCAAAGACCATGTATGGAAGATTGCGAAAATGATCAGATTATTTTCCAGCTTCTCCAATAAAGTCATCTCCCCACTTACTGATTAAGTTCAGGCTGGCCTTGGAATAGCTTGCTTTGACCAAGAGGATACAACGTAAGTCATCTGTAAATTCTGAACCTGGTCCTCAAAAGGCCCTACAAATCCTACTCTTGCTGTTTTTTAAACTCCTGCAACCATGATATGAAATAACTTAGATGTGATTGTTAATTTCATGTGTCAGCTTGACCAGCCCTTGAGGTGCCAGAGATTTGGTCAAACACTATTCTGGGTACATCTGTTAGGGTGATTTTGGATGAGATTATCATTGAATTGGAACACTAATAGATGTGAGTAGGCCTCATCCAATCAATTGAAGACCTGAATAGAACAAAAAGATTGTGTATGAAGGAAACCTCTGCCTGGCTGCGGTGAGCTGGGACATGGGTCGTTCCTGTTTTTGTAGTAGAACTCTTCTTGGGTCCCAAGCCTGCTAGCTTTCAACTGGAATTTATACTACCAGCTGTCCTTGTTCCCAGGACTTCAGACTTGGACTGGAACTGCATGACCAACTCTCCTGGGTATCCAGCTTGCTAACTGCAGATCTTGGGACTTCTCAGCCTCCATAATTATGTAAGCCAATTGTTTATAATAAAGCTCTTTAAACACACACATACCCCTTATTGGTTCTGTTTCTCTAGAGAACCCCGACTATGCTCTAGGCTTGCCTGTTGGAGGATGAGACACATATAACCCAGATTCTCTGTCAGCCCTGCAAATAGTCTGCCAACCATCAGAAACATAAGCAAGGTCATCTTAGATCATCCAGAATCCAGTCAACCTTTCAGCTGAACAAAGACAAGTGAAAGTATCCAGACATCAGCCCAGCTGGTCCAAACCAGAAGAACTGATGAGCCAACCCACAGAATCATGAGCAAAATAAATGATGGCATTTTAGGCTGCTAATATTGCAGGGTGGTTCTTAAGCATCAAAAGCTAACTGATACACCAGGGTATGCTTATTATTAAAGTTCAATATGGAATAGAGTTTGGCCAAAATGAGATCAATCTGAGGAAATAAATTCCTATGTGTAAAATATGCAATGTGGACATTTATACTATAGAGCAGAAAAACAAGTGGTAAAATTAAATTACAAGGGTGAAGGTTACACAAGAGGATAAAACTGTACAAGAGGCCACCATTGGGCAAAACAGAAATATGAACTGGTATGATGTCACAGCCTGTGAGGTGGGAGAGAAACAAATGACAGATTATGAGTTGGAAAAAAAAGACAGATACAAAAATAGTCAAAATTGGTCATACTTGAAAGGATTTCATTATGTTTGCAAGATAAAGATGGAATATGAAATGTGATGTTAATGACAGACAAAGTGGAGTGGTGATGCATGGTAATATAGCTGATTCAGATAACTAGATTACTTTTACATCAGAGTCACTTGAGGAGATTCTTAAAAAATACACATTCTTGAGACTCACTCTTACAGACTGATTCAGTAAGTTTGGAATGAATTAAACAATCCAAACATCAACAAGTACTACAGGTGAGTCTGCTGTAGCCAGAATCATGAATCACTGCCTAGCTCAGGGGAGTGACTGGGGTCAAACACTTCACATTATCCTGAAAATATGTAATTTTTAATATTAACAAAGAAAAGCTTTACATTCATATTACTAACTTTACACCAAAATATTAAGTCTCTCTCTCTAAAAAGCAGTCAGCTTTTTGGCTAGCTGTACTACTAAAGAAATTACTCATGTATCTGCATATACACTAACTACTCAATAAAATTGCTAAACAAGACTTAATTATTAGCATTTGATTAAAAATTGAAGTACCTTATTGGGTATAAGTAATACAAGGTGACCCTGGCCTAAAATGAGGAGTTTTCTTTGATCAAATAAATATAAACTTGGAAATGTTAACAATCACTATGTATAATCAGATGTTTAAAATGTTTTTAAGAACTACAACATTTATCTTTTAGTTTTATTGTAGTATACAGATAAATTAAAAGACTGAAACCAAGCATACTTACTTTATTGCTTTGGATATCAGGATGGGGTGGTGAATCGAAGTTTACTATGGCATGTAGAATATCATGTGTTAGATTACTAAGGTGCAATAATGGATTGGCAACTACTGTTTTGGCACTGGCTGTACAAGCAAAGAGGAGAGGTACCGAGGTTTGCTCTGAAAGAGGGCTAGGAAATATTGGTTCTGATGTTTCCTTAAAAACAAAGGGAAAAAAAGGTTACCCACCAATTTATAGTTATAACCCATTACTTATGTAACTTAGGGGTTTCTTTGAAAAACTTCTAAGCAACTAAAAATTAAAAGCCTAACAAACTTTTTACAGTCAGAGGAGACTTCAGGAGGTCAATATTCCAGCAATTATATTGAAAAAATGATGGAACAATACCCTCTTATCGTAAGAAGTTTATCACCTCATAAGGCATTCATACAAGAATGTGAAGTATGAATTCAATATATCATAGAGTCTAATATAAAACTGTCCTTAAAGTGCAATACATGCACACTCTACAAATTCACAATATGAAGTACCACACAGAAAGGAAGATTCCTTAAAGATACCATAATGAAGAAAATCAACATTTTTAATATTTAAAAACAATTACCCAAAACTTTTTCATACATGTACTATTTTGACTGGCTATCTGGTAAGTTACATACCTGCTGAGATTCTTGTAAAAGCAAAATCAATTCCATTCTCACAGATGCAAGACCCCCACCATGGGATCCATGAAGTATGCAGTAACTAAGAAACATTCTCAAGAGTGACTGATATTTCAAAAGCCATTGTCTTTTTTCCTGAAAATTTTCCCTCAGTTGTTTTACTTTTGTTTGGTGGAGCAAATCTTCACCATCTTCATTTATTCCCAATTCATCTCCATTTGCATCAAATGCAGATTGTAATTCTTCAGCATCTGAACAATAGTCACAAATTTTCTGAAGAGCTATCACCTCTTTTTCAAGCCAGTGGTACAGCTGGTAACGCAATTTTCCACCATCTATTTCATAGCCAGTAGATAAAGTACGAAGTTCTCCTGTGAGAATCTTTAAACATGCTCTAAATTTTAATTGAACTGAAATTATATCTTCTGATGGACTTAAAATGTCATTTTCATCTAGTGTACAAAGGGAGTCTGTGTAATTAGAACTTGTTTCATCTATTTTTTTATTTAAAGGTTTTAGTTCTTTCATTGAAATAGGGACAGCCTCATTTTCTTCATCATTATCACTGTCCCATTTTAATTCTAAAGAGTCATCTTGAAATACAACACTTGGTTGGCTCCAGTCAAAAGAAAGAGTGGAGTTTGATTGCTTCTCTGAAGAACCCTCTGAAGAAGATGCAAAACCATTCATGAGTGACTGTGACCAATCAATAGCAGAAGACTTATCTTCCCTTGCATCCAATTTGAATGGAGAAGTAGGGGAACAGTCTTTACTAGTGTCCAGAAAACTAGATGTTCTACAAAAAGGTTTTGTTTTCTTGGTAACTTTTGGCATCTTTGATAATACTTCCAAAGCCAACATGGGGCAGCCAGCTTTTAAATGAGCAGTGGCAGTAGTAAAAAATAACCTTCTTTCACTTAAATTAATTGTTCCTGCCAGTCCACTTCTTCCTGTTAAACTCACATGTGTGGAGAATGCATCAGATGATCCAAAATGACGTCTCAACAAAAGAGGATGTGTTCTTAGATAATTGTAGAAATTAAAAACTGCAGGATTACAGGCTGACATCATGACTTGATCTGAAAGTAAATTCATTTTATGAGCCAAAAAAAATTCTTCAAGAGTTATCTATTTGGTCAGTCTCTTGAAAAACTTTTATTAACAGACCACACTAATACATAGCACTGAACAGATAAGAACACATTTGTAATCAAAGCGTTTTAACACAGTAGGAAAACAAAGGTTATGCTGATTTCACATATTTTCAGGTAAGAATCTAAGAATTTAAAACATCCACTTACACACTTAGTCTTTTTCTCCTACTTTTCTGGACACTCACTCCTTCCCAGTCTGCTTTTCTAGATCTTCCTCATCTTCTCTGCCTTTGAATATAGAGTATCCTAGAGTTCAATGCTTGCCTTCTTTTCTATTGACATTCATTGTGTGAACTCATATCATTTCATGACTTTAAATATCATCTATGTGCTAATAACTTGCATATCTCTATCACTTGTCCCAATTTCACCCTGTAAATCTAGACTACTATATCCACAGACGTACATTACATTTCCATTTACATGTACATACTCTACCTTCAGGGCCTTTTAATTTAGTGAGCCTTTGGCCTAAACCACTCTTTCCAGACATTTACATTGACTACTTGCTCATTTCAATTAGGTTTCTGCTCAAAGGTGACCTTATCAGAGAAATCTCTATCTAAAGCAACACTCCTCCAAATCTAATCCCAGTCTTCCCCATATCATTTATCCATTGCTCAAGCTAAAAACCCAGGAATTATCCTTGATTCTTATCCCCTTTACATTCCATATCCAATCCTGTCCTATCTAGTCAACTGTAACACAACCACTTCTCTCTGCCCCTACTCCTATCATACTGGTCCAAACTACTAATATCCTTTATATTTTTCTTCTAGAATAAAGGTTTAATTGGTTCTAAAAGTATGTGATCATGTATTAACCCCGAGTCAAAATACATTTTTGACATAAATATGTTTAGGTATAAAATGAGTGAGTGGAAAAGGCCTTTTATTCTTCCCCTTCATTATATAGAGGCCAGTTTAGAAGTCTACACATCAGATGTCTAGGAGGCTAGAAGAACTGAGTAATGGTTTTCTCATACTAGGACATATGATACTTCCTAATTAAATGATGCTATACAAAAAGCTATGAACTAGAGCCTTTCCCAGTGAGTACTTGAAATGATATGACCCCTGCTCTACCAGCTATCATACACAATTTGATTCTACCTATGGAAAAATATTTGAAAAACATTTCCCATCATTTTTAATTCCATTTTATACTAATCTCTAGAAAAGCTTTGCAGAAAGGATTTCTAAAACAAAAGGCAGAAGTAGACTCAAAGGGAACATTAAACAAATTCTTTATCTCACTCATCTCATGAACAAGACAGTTAAGAATTTAGTTAGCTTAAGATTTTTTTGGTAAAAATATATCACTTTTCTTTTTCTTTTTTGTCGTCATTCTATTACAGTTATCCCTAGCCTAAGATTTTTAATAATGCCATGTATGTCAATTTGCTTTACATTAAATACATTTTTACTATGAAAATTATAAAATTTATTAATATGCTAACTTCCACCTAAGATAAACTCACTTTATAGCAGTACTTTCTCTAAAATATTTGTATTTAAATGTTTATATATTGATGTTGAATACATTGATTTCATAAAAACAAAAAAACCTAAAGTCCTTATTTTCAAAGGATTTATTATTCTGAAATAAAACAAAAAACACCACATAAACAACCAAAAAGAGATATGCATAACTCTTTGTCCCCAATTAAAACATAAGGTCTCAGATTGTCTTCAATTTGCTTTGGATTACCCTTAGTACCCTACAAGCATATTCTGTATCCAGTAGATACTAATAAAACTCTTAATCATTAATATCTTAAAAGCGCAGCTTACCATCGTCCTCTCTGATAGGTTGCTTTATTAATGTTTCCAGAGCACTACTATAATCTTCCAAAATCCAATATGCCATACTCCGAAGAAAAGGATCATAATGCATATTGATGTTCAATGAATTGAGTTCATTAACAGCAGAAACAATTCCCAAAACTCTTTTACGTAAAACAGACTTATATGTTGCAGATTTATCAAATTCAGACTCATAGAGTCTTGCTATTACAAGGGCCAACTGAATGTCATTCAGTTTCTCAAGACATACCTTCCAAAAAAAGAAAAAGAAATACTCTTTATAAATAAGCAGGAGTATCTTTTATTTAAGAGAAACTCAACTGACTTACTAATAACTAGATGAACACAAGGCTTTATTAATATTTGAAATTAGTGATCAAGGATGTTAAGAAAGAACATACTGTTTGTTTTGGCAAGTCGATTTGACAGCATTTATTTTAATAACTTACAAATCTATCTGCTAGTACTAAATATGTTTGCAAAAAGAACTGGCCTAGGCCCTGGTTGGGTAACTCAGTTGGCTGGAGTGTGGTCCCAATGCAATATTGAGGGTTTGGTCCCTTGTCAGGGCACATACAAGAATCAACCAATGAATGAATGAGTAAGAGCAACAACTCTCTCTCTCTCTCTCTCTTCTTCCCTCCCTCTCTCTCCCCCAACTTCCCCTTTCTTCCTAATAAATAATGAAATAATTAAAAAAAAATGGAATTGGCCTAATGAGGGAATATTGAATAATTCTTAATAGCATCAGTTTAAGTGATATATTTTATTTTATTCTTGAACTTTTACTCTTCCCCATCCCCCTCAGTAGACTATAGTGTTTCCAAATTTAAAAAAGTTGTATGAAACTCTGAGCAAAAGGGCAATTAGGATAGAAATGTTGTATCTTAAATGTTCATGATTTTTTTTAAGGTTTACTGAGAAATAATCAGTTAAAAATTTGCTACGGTTCTTCAACTAAGAGACAACAAAATATATATAGGTTCATATATGTTTAAATTGATAGGACAAACTTTTTTTTAACCTTTTCATGAACACTCTTAAGAGTCAGATCTACTACTTATCTCTACCAACAAAATTTTAAAAGTCATTATTATATATTATCAATTACTTTAGGTATTCAGCCTTGTGTTATTTCCACTAGATTTAAGCTGAAATAAAAACAAAACAAAAAAAAACTTAAGCCATAGATAAAGAGCTTAAGGATGAAAATGTTATTTTTAAAAAGATTTCATTACCTCAATTGCATCTCTGAGGCAACCAGCTAAAAGAAAAAATGCTGCAGAATGTTCAAATCTCTGTTTGCCTAACAAAGAAAAAGCGTTCTTTAAAGCTGCTTTACGCCACCTCTCATCTTCAAAATTGTGTCCAAAAAACTGTGTCATCTTGGTGTCTTTTTGGGATCTATAGGGAAAAAAAAGTTAAAAAATTTTGGAACACAATGTTTCTACATCAGAACTGATTTTATAAAGTTAGCCACTTAAATGTTAAGACTCAAAAGAAACATTTCACAGTTCAAAAGTTACTATAACAACATATTCTGAGCAAAGAACATTTATGATAAACATTTAGTTTTTCATATATATTTCAGAGATTGCTGAAAAAACTCTTTCGAGCTAGTAAGAAAACTGTATTAGCACTAAGAGAAATTGTTTTTAAATCCACATGAAATACATAATTTATATTAACTTCTGTGCTACTTCTCATTTAAACCTCATCAATCACAGAACTCCCCTGGCCACCTAGCGATGACATTTAGATGATCAAAATCTAAAGAATCTGTCCTAATTCCAAACAATACTAAAATATCTAGTCTCTTACAAAACTGACTGGTAACATAATTTTCCCCCAAAGGCTGGTGTTCCTATAGATTCATCTGAAACAAAATCCAAAACAAATTAAAGATTTAGCCAGATCTTGCAAGGGACAAATGAAAGAGAAAAATTCTAAGTGACCCAAGCTCAATTATGGTGTCTGGGCCCACAGGAGGAAAGAAGTTTATGGGATAGCCTAGTCCACAGTCCCTCACAGGACACAGGGTAGATGCCTATTCCAGATTCCACCAATTCATTTTTCCCACTCAAAATGCAAATTTCTGGTTTAGTTCTTTGTTCTATAGGAGTATCACAAAAAGCTTTTAAAATAAGCAAAGTAATATTTTTCTGGACTGATAAAACCAAAAAACAAACTAAAATGACCTTACCAAGATCTTCTGCTCTGGAAAACACCTAGGCTTCTTTCCTATGAAATCTTTCCTTAAATACAAAAATAACTAAGAATCTACATGAATCACACTATCCACAACAACAAATCTTTACTTAATATATTTACTCCTTATGAAAAGTTTTTCATTTTAAAGCAGTTTTCTCACCTACCTATATAAGCCCCAAATCACAGCTTTCTTTTTCATTGCAAGATAAAAAATGGCAGCATCTAAAGGATCATTCTTTCTATAAAAGGCTGCTTTGGCTACCTATAATTAGAAAATATTAGTCAAAATTTCAAAGAAATCATTTTAAACAAACAGTTTCCCTCATATACAAGACTGTCATATATTATCTATTTAAATGTTCAAGGAATTTAAAAAATATGTATATAAACACAAATATATTTATATTTAACAATTACAAAAGTAATTTTTAGTAGTGGCCTCCAATGATACAGAGAGGTGAGAACAGGACTATAGTTTTCATTACAAGCTCTCTGTACTATTTTATTTTTTCTAAACATGTATATACATATCATTTTGTAAAAATCAGACATAGGCTACTAAGCAAATATATCAACTAACAATAAGAATTAGAATAAACATTTTAAAATATTAACATATTTTCAAATTAAAGACATTTAAATCATTTTACTACATTAAGAAAAGGGTAAAAGGAAAGGAAATATGGAATGACATTTAAAGAAATATTCAAAATGTAACATATTTTTTACACCAATATAAAATACTTACCTTTTCTATACACTTGCGTAAGATGTGGGTATTCCGGACCCACCATCCCACACCCATAGCTCTTAGCTCAGACCAAGTGGGACTATCCTTCTGCATTGTTGGCAGCATGTTCAACAGTTCTTCTTGTGCTACTGAGTGAAATGCCCAGGCAAAATGACTGGTAGACAGACCTGTAGAAGTGTAAAATAAAATGTTGATAAGAAATATAAACATGACTATACAATGACTGTCAGAAATATGGGCTCCATATTTGCAATAAAAATGTCCAAACCTTATATGAAACACAAAAAGTTATAATTAAGTGGTTAGGGCTACAGGGAACATGGGTTTTTTTTTTTTTTTTCTTCTCTAAACAGTTCTATTATGTCATGATTTTCTACAATGAGCATATATTTCCTATAATTTAAATATACGTTCTTAAAAAGATGGAAAAAATGCTTATGGCAAATGCTTCTGTGCTGATTATTTTTGTTCTGTAGCTACTACCCATGACATTTTCTTAGAAAATAAGAAACACAAGTATTGGGTTAGCCAAAATTTCATTTATTTTTTTCTGTATGATGGCTCTAGTAGTGTTAAGTTTTCTTTAACTTCATTCAGAACAATTTTGTTAGACTGTATTGTGACAGCTGTCTTATCAATGTGTATTTAAAAGAAAACTGATCAAAATCGGTGAATTTCTGTGCAGCCAGTTTAATACTGAAGATGGAAGAAGATATGCAACATTTTCAGTGTATTATGCTTTATTATTTCAAGAAAGGTAAAAATGAAACTGCAATGCAAAAAAAAAAAAAATTTGTCCAGTGTATGGAGAGGGTGCTGTGACCGATCATGTGTGTCAAAAGTGGTTTGCAAAGTTTCTTGGTACTACTGAAATTTTGACCAAATAATTCTTTGCTGTGGTGCTGTCTTATGCATTGGAAGATATTCAGCAGCACCCCTGGCCTCTACCCACTAAAAGCCAATAGCAGGAGAGAGCCCACATACTCAGAACATCCAAATCAGTAAAGTTATTGGGGAAAATTTTTAAAAATGTGTATTTTATGTAAAAAAACTAAACAGACTTTTTGGCCAACCCAATATTATTCTATACTGGTACGTATCATTTTTTTTCAAAGCTGATTCTCATTGTCCTGTGGTCAACATTTGTATTGTGGATTTAATTCCATGGAATTAAAAAAGCATCAAGTAGACATTATAGATTGGCGAACAGAACTTAAGACTGTAAAAACTTGTATCAAAAAGTTTTCATACTGAAAGAAAACTACAGGCCAATTTCGCTGATGAATATAGATGCTAAAATCCTCAACAAAATATTGGCAAACCACACCCAGCAATACATTAAAAGGATCATCCACCACGATCAAGTGGGATTCATCTCAGGGATGCAGGGATGGTTCAATATACGCAAGTCAATAAACGTAATACATCACATAAATAAAAGAAAAGACAAAAACCACATGATCATCTCAATAGATGCAGAAAAAGCATTCAATAAGGTACAGCACCCACTTATGATCAAAACACTCAGCAAAATGGGAATAAATGGGGCATTCCTCAACATAATAAAGGCCATATATGAAAAACCTACAGCCAACATCATACTCAACAGGCAAAAACTGAAAGCTTTCCCACTAAGATCAGGAACACGACAAGGATGTCCGTTTTCACCACTTCTTTTCAACATCGTATTGGAAGTCCTAGCCACAGCGGTCAGACAAGAAAAAGAAATAAAAGGCATCCAAATAGGAAAGGAGGAAGTAAAGCTATCATTGTTGCAGATGACAAGATAGTGTACATAGAAAACCCTGTACACTCTACCAAAAAACTCAACCTAAAAAGTGAATTTGGCAAAACAGCATGATACAAAGTCAAAATTCAGAAATCAAAGGCATTTTTGTATACCAGCAATGAAACAGAAGAAGAAGAAATCAGAAAAAAAAATATCATTCGCTATAGCAAGAAGAAAAATAAAGTACCTAGGCATAAATTTAACCAAAGAGGTAAAAGACCTATATGCAGAAAACTATACAACATTGAAGAAAGAAATTAAGGAAGACACAAATAAATGGAAGCATATACCGTGCTCATGGATTGGAAGAATTAATATCATCAAAATGTCCATACTACCCAAAGCAATTTATAGATTCAACGCAATCTCTATTAAGATACCAATGACATATTTCACAGAAAAAGAACAGACATTTCAAAAATTTATATGGAACCATAAACGACCCTGAATAGATGCAGTGATTTTGAGAAAGAAAAACACAGTAGGAGGGATCACAATATCGGACATCAAACTCTACTACAAAGCCACCATACTCAAACCAATCTGGTACTGGCACAAGAACAGACCCATAGACCAGTGGAACAGAATAGAAAGCCCAGAAATAAGCCCAGGTCTATATGGGCATCCAATATTTGACAAAGGGGGCAGAAGCATAAAATGGAGCAATAATAGCCTCTTCAACAAATGGTGTTGGGAGAGCTGGATGGCTACATGCAAAAAATTGAAATTGGATCATCAGCTGACACCATACACAAAAATAAACTCAAGATGGACAAAAGACTTAAATATAAGACGCAACACCATAAAACTCCTAGAGGAGAACATTGGCAGGAAACTCTCAGATATCCCATGCACCAATTTTTTCACCGATATGTTTCCTAAAGCAAGGGACATAAAGGAAATAATAAACAAGTGGGTCCGCATCAAAATAAGAAGCTTCTGCCCAGCTAAAGAAAACATCAGCAAAATGAAAAGGGAGCCAACCCTATGGGAAAATATATTTGCTAATGGTACATCAGATAGAGGTTTGATCTCCAAGATATATAAAGAACTCACTCAACTCCACTCCAAGAAGACAAACGATCCAATCAAAAAATGGGCAAAGGACCTGGGCAGACGCTTTTCCAAGGAAGAGATACAGAAGGCCCAGAGACATTTGAAAGGATGCTCAGCATCACTAGCCATCAGAGAAATGCAGATCAAAACCACCATGAGGTACCACCTCACTCCGGTCAGAATAGCCATCATAAACAGATCAACAAACAACAGGTGCTGGCAAGGCTGTGGAGAAAAGGGAACGCTAGTACACTGTTGGTGGGAATGCAGACTGGTGCAGCCATTGTGGAAAGCAGTGTGGAATTTCCTTAGAAAGCAGAAAATGGAATTGCCTTTTGATTCAGTGATTCCCCTGCTGGGACTATACCCTAAGAATCCCAAACGCCAATTCAAAAGAACCTATGCACCCCAATGTTCATAGCAGCACAATTTACAAGAGCCAAGTTTGGAAGCAACCTAAATGCCCATCAGTAGATGATTGGATAAAAAATTAGTGGTACATTTACACAATGGAATACTATGCAGCAGAAAGAAAAAAAAAAAAAAACTACTACACTTCGTGACAGCATGGATGGAACTAGAGAACATTATGCTAAGCAAAATAAGCCAGGGGGTGAAAGACAAATACCATATGATCTCACCTATAAGCAGAACCTAACCAACAAACAAAGATGCAAGGAAAATAAGACCAGCAACACTGAAAGGAAATGAAACCAACAGAGACAAGAGGGAAGGAGGGAGGGGGGGTGGGGAAAAGGAAGGGAAGGGGAAAGTCAAGGAACATATAGCAAGGACTCATGGACAAAACCAAAGGGGAAGAGTTGAGGGAGGGAGGGAGGGGGGGGGCAAGGGAAAGTGGTGGGGGGAAGGCAGAGACAAATGTTTTTGAAAAAATAAATAAATTAATTAAAAAAGGTTTTCATACTATTTTGTTTTTCTCTTCCATTAATACACATTCCTCATAAATTCACTATTTTTATTAGCAATTCTATATGCCACCATATGACTATATTAATGTTTTCATAATGAATTATTCCCTCTATTTGGGGCATTTGACTTATATCTAGTTTTTCACTATACATACTACAGATATTAAAAAATCTTTTTTTTCTCTTCTAAAGTAGCATTAATAAATATATTCCTATGTTGCTTTTTAAAGAGGTTTTCCTAATTTTCATTAATTTAATCAATGTTCAAGTACCTGTTTACCCATTATTATGCTTACTTTGGATTTTTCTCACTTTTACTTTTGATAGTAGAGTGAACTGATACTTTATTATTACTTTAAATTCAGTTTCCTTAATTATTAGTGAGACAGAGAATGTACCCTACTGTTTCTTTACTCCTTGTATTTTTTCATTGTTTGTATCTTTTGGCTATTTATCGGTCCATAAAAGAGTATTGGTCCTTCATATTTTTATCAGTCCCTCATCAGTATAGATAATAAACTTTGACATTAAAAAAAAGACTGTGAAAACTCAACAATCAGAATTTCCTACATTAAGTTCCAGCTCTTCCTTAATTAATTATATAAGTTTGGGCAAGTTTCTTAGTCTCTTGATTCCCCAATTTTTTCATTTACAAAATGTGAATAATTATAAAACCTACCTTATTACACTGTTGTGAGGATTAAAAGAAATAATATTGTTAAAGCATTTAGAATAATACCTGGCACATCCTAACTATAATTACTCCATATCACCGTATTAGGAAGGTATTTTTATATTTATACAGCATCATTTACATCAGCAATTCTCTCAACCTACTGGCACCACATGGGGTGTTTATGGCTCAGCTTCTATTTTCTCTTCACAGTATATTTTGTTTCATATTACTATGAGTGAAGTAAATGATTAATTATAAGGTGTGGCTTTCACATATATAGATTGAAGTTTTTAACCTAGTATCCAGGGCAAAAGAATTTGAAATTCTCACTATACTCAAGTCTATAAAAATAAAGAAACAGAAATTTTAAAAAAGATCTATACTTTGAATGGACTGTTATTCTATATTATTTTTAGACTACAATTATCTCTAAACCAAGTTAAGTATTTTTTCATAAATAAAGAATTTGACTTAGAATTTTAAGCTTCACTTCTCCAAAGCTAAATTCAAAAAAAAAGAGGAAGGGAAAGGAAAAAGAGAAACATAGAAAGAAAAAGAGAGATCAAGAGACAGAGACCAATTAACAGAGGCTAACTTATAGAGTCCTAATAACAACACTTAAACCTGTACAGCCAATTATGCTGGAAGCCAGCTCTACCTCTTGTACTTCCTGGATAGTGAGCCAATAAACATCCTGTTTAAGTTATCTTAAACTTAAGTAAAGCATTTCTGTTACTCGGGAAGTCCTATCAGTATACGAGGCCTGTCCAGAGAGTATCCATCCATGTACTATGAAAAAGAGAGACATTTCTTGAAGAAGATACAAGATATAAGAAATATTGTACATAGGACAATGACGTCTCAGTCCCGTTCAAAGCATGCACCTTGGGACCTCACATAGTTCTCCCAATCACCGCCAGCTGCCCTATCATATTTCCCTAATCTCATCAGCGGTCTAAAATCTCTTCCATTTCAAAGGTGATGTTAGCTTTGGGAAAAGCCAGAAGTCACAGGGCGCCAACTCTGGGCTGTAGGGAGGCTAAGTCACCTGGGTGATCTGTTTCACCAAAAAACTGCACGAGACTTGATGCATGAGTGGGCACACTGTCATGATGAAGCTGCCAATCACCAGTTGCCCATAGCTGTGGGCTTCTGAATCATCTGAAAACTTTCCTTGGAAGAATATTCAAGCTTAATGCAAAATCTGATGCAAATTCATTGCTCTACTCGCACAGTCATTCTGAATGAGATAGCAACACAGTAAATATACTCACTCAATGGCATCTACAACCCCCACTGACTAGTACAGTGAAGTCGTCATTGTTCATGCATGCACATTCCAGTCCACTCTCCTTGGCTGCCACGTTATGCCAATGTCACACAAGCTGTTTCCATTATATTAACAATGGTTTGACTTTTTCCGGACAGACCTCATATAATAGTAACTTAAGATATTATTAAACTAATATCTAAAATATACATTAACATTAACAGTAGTTTCAGGGATACTCTCTTTTTTGTAAAACAATTAAAAATTGAATATGTGTCTTTTTCTATAACAAAAACGTTATTCAACTTTGGGAAATAATTTGAATTTAGATAACTATCAAAACAAAGAAAAGAAGAACATCTAAAAAAGAAATTAAAGAGAATGAAATAACACTCATTGCCCTTTAATATATGATGCACTTGAAACAAAATACTGCTCAATTGCTTCATATTTCTACGTCTTCATTAACTCTTTCCATCTACCAAAAATATTCCAATAGCATAAGTAAAGAAAATTAAGTGGAAATAAACACTTTTAAAAATAAATTAAGGAAATTTAGAATGTGTCAAACTTGTCATCACTATCATATCTGAGCAAAAGCAAAGTTAAAAGTTATCAAGTCTTTCTTCTTCTCTTCTAGCCTTACTTCCTTTTAATAGATTACTACCAAAATCACCTTGGTGAAGGAGTTGAGCTCGATAAGCTGGAAGGGAAGTTGTAAGAAAAGTATGAAGTCGAACAGCCAAAAGAAATTTTAACCCACATTCATCAAGAGTTTCTCCACCTATGAAAAAGGAAGAAAAAAATGTTACTTATTTTTATTTGTAAAATAATATTTCATCAGCAAAACACAAGTAAATGCTAATAATTCTGGAAGGCAACATATGTCACAGCACCAAATACTTCATTCATTCTGAAACAAGTTAACCATTTAAATATTTCTAATATCTTTTTTCTATATAAATATACATTACAGAAAGTAGTAGTGTAGTTAAATATTTTGGAAAATAAGAAAGGAGAGAATGAATTAAGTGAGGGTCTGTCATATTTTTTATAATTGGACCTCCTCTGATCTGAAAAATACTTAAATTAAAATGTAACTAAATTTTAAAATAGTTTAATCTTCTCTGTGGTATATGTTACAATATTTCCCATTTTGATTCAAGCCATATACCCATTCTAATAATCTGCTGCTAACACCAAAAGAAATAGTTATACAGTGGGAAGGACTGCTTTGTACCTTCAACAATTAAAAACACCTATAACATATTTACAATAAAAAAATAATATCTACCAGTAATACTTCTTAAAGTATCACTATTCATGACCAATATTTTTCTTAAATTTTTAATTATTACTTTCTTAAATCTACCCTGTATTTTATTTTCAAGCATAGTTCAAGGAGTGAGGCCTGCTTATATCATTCTGTCGCACCTGGCTGGAGTTGCTAATTTTGGATATTATTTGAGATTTGATGGAAATTCTACATTCAAATTTGTTCATAACTCAGAAGATGAAGAAGACAAAAATGTTCTCTGGGGGAGGAAAAGACCTAATTTCATCATGCTTATTTCTGTTATTCTAGATAGGAGTATATATTAATGCTAATTTTTAAAAGAAACCATGAATATTTAAAAAGACAAACAATAGTAAATTATTATGACATGAGAGAAAATAAAGCAGAAAGCATATTTTCAGGTATCCAAAGTAATTATTTAATAAGAATGTTAACTTTTGCTAAACTCAAATTATTCAGTTGGATCTTTAATATTATTAAGCAGATAATTAGGTAAAAATTAAATACGACTGGCATAATTATTTTTTTACAACTTTTATTTCAACTCCTATTTCAGAGTACTATGACTTATCGGATAAATAGTATATAATCAAGTTAAAACTATTGTGAAGTTAGTAATGATTAAAAACTTTCATGAGCTTCATTTTTATAAATATTATTTTAGATTTTCTGTGAAAATAAGTCAAAATATCATTAGCTTTTCCTCTGATCCTGTACCCAATTTAGTTTTACCTTGGCTTCTGTCTCTGCTTTCTCCAATATCAGTGCTGGTAGTTGCAATTGTATCTGCTAAGGCCATCAAAGACATCTGCTCCATCCTGCTGAGTCCTGGTAAACTAGAATGAAGTAAGTGGCCAGAAAGAACCTGAGCATGCTCAGGCCCAAAGTAAGTTGGACTGTATTGTGAAAGGTCAATAATCCTGGGCTTTGTATTTTCTTCATCCATTTCTAAAACATTACTATCAGTCATTAAAGTTGAGGTCTGAAAAAGCTCATCATAACCTTCTTTTGATAACTGGTTTGAGTTATTTAAGGTACTCTGATTATTAGATCTCTCCAAAGATGAGTAAGAGTTATCATCATCCGCCGCAAGTAAGGCATATAGAGGAAGTGGAGGAACAGAATCTATTTCTGTGTAATCTGTATTTTCACTCTTGTTGAATGCCTGTGGGTCTCTGGTGGTGCTTCCACTGGCACTAATGGTGAGAGACCTAAGGCGGCGCTCGTGATTAGATTCAGTTTCATTCAGAGCCACAACTTCTCCAGCAATGCACTTGACAAGATGTGACAAGATGGCCTTTGCTCTTCGAACTTTGCCAAGATCCATGAGTTCTAAAAGCTGCAAAGGATGGTACTGAGGTAAAGTTGGGGAAATAACATGGGCGGCTTCAAAAAGACCTGAATCTTCCATGTCCACAGAAGGATCAAATGCAGTTTTCTTTCCACAGATTTTCTGTGCAAGACTAGTCATGGATCGAGTCAGAGTTTTCTTTGGAGGATGTAATCCAGAACTTGATGAGTTACTCTGTTTTATTAAACTTATTATAGATGGAGTGCTCCCATTGTATGAATCTCTTATAACAGGTTCCTGTTTAGAAGATGGCTGCCACTGGGAATACACACGCATCTCACAATCCATTCCTACCACCAGGATGCCATCCCGGACCCAGGACAAAGAAACAGGGAAAGGTGGAAAGCCTTCTACAGAAGAAACCAAATCTACACTTCGTAACAGTACAAATTTAGAAAGTGGCACAATTTTAGTACTCTCCCAGAAAGGAAAAGCAAGGCTTTCCTTACCAGTCTGTTCTTGTACCTTGCCAGCTAGGGGTCCATACATAAAAAGTTTTGATCCAATTCCTATAGTCAAGATATGAGAACCGTCTTCTCTAGACATCCAATCTAAGTGAACTAAATGCTTAATGTTTGATGTGATACTCTCTTTACTGGATAAATATACCTCTTGTTTATTATAGGCCACTAAATTGCTATCAATGCTAATGCCAGAATCCAACATTGTATTTAACTCATCTAAATGAATTGTCTGTTCAAGGACCCAACATGAACCTCCTGTAGACTCACATTCAAAAATACTTACATGCATCACAAAGTCCTGAGAAGTTCTACTATTAGATGCAGGCTGCTTATATGCTACTGCTAAACGATTTGTGTGTGCACAGCTAACTTCTACAGGCCTACCAGGTACAGTTATACTACTATTGCTCTGAAGTCCATCTTCAATAAGTAACGGCCATTCCTCCCAAATGTATACAAGATCCATTTTTCCATTATTTGATGTGGCAGATTCTCCATCTGTTACTCTGCATCTCCAGAATCTTACTTTCTCATCTGAGCATGAAGTTGCCAACAAATAGGGAGCACTGCATATAGGATATATGGAAGAAGAACTCAGATGACCTAAAAAAGAAAATAATCCATTAACAAAATATCAAATTGGGTTAAATATTTCTATTTTCACATACTAAAGGTTTTACTCTTTTGTATGAATTACTGTTAACAACACAACAGTCTATATTTAGATTGAGGGTCAATAAGATCAGTAAAAAGCTTTTAACTACATCAAAAGGTATGTAAAAAGGACAGTATCACCAAAACCTACACCAGAAAGAACTCCAGGAGACTTTAGTTCAATTCCTGAATTTTACAGGTAAAGACCCTTAACCAAATGTGTTAAGTTCTCATGCCTAAATCGAATAGCTAGGCAAAGGCAGAATTAGAAAACCTGAATTCTAATCCTGGTTCTCTACCCAATATTCTTTTCACAACTCTTTGCTGGTTTTACATTATTATTATAGACTTCATATTAAAGATATCAACATAGTTTTAAAAACTTGTCAACACTTATTGTTTGCTTTTTTAATATTTTTTAATGTAATTTGTGAATGGGCCATGTTTACCTAAGTGCTAAATGGGCCCTCAATGATTGAGGAGTATTTGATATGCCTGATGCTGAGAAGATTCCTAAGTGGGACACTGTTTTCTTGGGCTTACTATAATCATATACTCTTAATTTCCTAAACCAGGGGTTAGCAAATCTTTTCTTAAAGGGCCAGATTGTAATCACTATTTTGGGCTTTGCTAACATAAGGTCTCTGTTGAAACTACTCAATTCTGCCACTGTAGAACAAAAGTAGTCATACACAAAAGTAAATAAATTAATGTGGCTATCTTCCACTCAAACTTATTTACAAAACAAGTAGGTGGTCTATAGTTTGCCAACACCTGTCCTAAGTTATTTAACATAACTACTAATTATAAGAAATGTTATATGGAATGTTTATCATATTTTAAAAGCCAATTTTGACATAATTGTAATATAGTTTTTTCCTAAAAAAGTCCTCAAGGAATATAGCAATATTGTAATAGAACACAATTAGCATTCCCCACTAGGTTCTCTGAGCTGTAGAGAAAATAAAGAGCTTATCCTTCCCAACAGTCTTGACTGAAATTCTTAAGACTAAGAAAAAACATTTACAGGAGTCTCCCCTCATCTGCAGTTTGCTTTCTGTGGTTTCAATTACCAGTAGTCAAATAACAAATTAAAATCTCCAGGAATAAACAATTTATAAATCTTAAATTACATGCTGTTCTGAGTAGTGTGCTACTGAAGAAATCTCACACTGTCCAGGTCTGCCCGCATAGAACATGAATCATACCTTTGTCCACTGTATCAACACTGTGTGTGCTACCAGACTGTTAGTCACTCAGCAGCCATCCCAGTTATAAGATCACCTGTTGCTGTGGTATTGCAGTGCTTGTGTTCAAGTAACCCTTATTTTACTTAATAATGGCCCCAAAGCATAAGAAGAGTGAAAAGGTATGTATACACAGGAACAAACATAGTATTTGTAAGATTTAGTATTATGCTCGGTTTCAGGCATCTTTTTGGGAGATTTGGAACTTATCCTCCAGGATAAGGGGAAAACTACCATACCAAATACTACTGTGTTGCCAAACAAAACAATTTCTTCTTTTTCCCCCAGATCTTTTTTCTCCCAAACTCAACTGGGACCAAAGTTAAACAAAAGGGCTGTTTTAAGAAATATCTTCAGTTTCTCTTACATTTGCCATACTATTTTAATTGGAATACAGTAGTGAAGATCATACCGCCTGGCTAAAGATAACAGCTCTTAAAAGTGTGTTAATACAAGAGTCATTCTTTTCCAAACTTTAAACTTCCTTGCACTGATGCCTCTTTTATTAAAATATACAAAGAAACAGAATGCAAATGTCATCAGAACACTGTTAATACCCTGCTCTGTTAACTTCAATGAGAAAAGTATTCAAAATAGTCAGTCAAAAAAAAAAATGAGAAGTAGAAAAGACTAAAACCCACACTTTCAGTATGAAAATGAAAGAACTGAGTGATAAGAAGATAGACTTTTTCTTGGGTTTTCTTGATATCCTAGAAAAGTGGTTCTTTTCCTTTTGTGTGCATTAGAATCACCAGGAAGGCTTGGTAAAGCAAACCCCAGAGTTTGTGATTCAGTAAGTCTAGGGTGCAGCCAAAAGAGTTTTATTTTCAACAAGTTCCCAGGTAATGCTGATGCTAGTCTGGGGACCACATTTTGAGAATGTCTGCCCTAAGATAAAGATAATAAATATATATGAGAAACCGCACACTCATAATCCTTCACAGCACAAGGCTCCAGGCAGCACAACCAATGCAATGGAACCTCAGTTCTTGAATGTAATTTGTTCTGGAAAACTCTTCAAGAAGCAATTTGTTCAAAAACAGAATCTTCCTTGTCACCCGAGAGACATATGATTGATCATACAGGCATGGGCATGAAGGAATTGTGAGGTCGAGAACTGAGAACTGAAATTTTGTTTGATAACTGAGGCTTTTTTTTAGTGAACAAGTTGGTCAAGAACCAAACTGTTCGAGAACCAAGATATTAAGGAACTATGGTTTTTGTTACCAAAGTTGGCAAATAAGGTGCAACCACATTACCATCTCCGTCCTAGAAACTTTCAGTTTTCACAAAAGGATAATGAGAATTTGTTTTAGAAATCAATATTTAAGACTATTACTGGCTGACAAATGTCGAAGTAATCTGAAAACAATGAGAAATTTTCAATTAGGGTACTTAAAGATAGTCTTTCCATTTTTGCTTCCATGTGTATTTAAAAAGAGGTAGTTGCACCTATTTTTAAATACCTAGTAAACACTCATGGATAACAAAAAGTTTACTTAGTCTTTTTTTCACAAAATTTACAAACCTGCTGATGGTTTAACACTTATTATTTCAACTCCTTCTGGCAAATGTAACTCTTGGCTATAAACCTTTTCTGAAGACAGAGTCAACTTGCTGGTACTCTGAAGATTTGCTCTGCAAGCCTGATACTTCTGTGCAAAAGGAGATAGGATCTTCTCTGGAGAAGAATAATGTTCTTCTGGTTGCCAAACTGCTTCAGATATTTTTGTATCTACTTTTTCATCTATAAAACATAAGAAAAAATAAAAAACTGGAGGGAGCAAGGGAAACCCTATAAACATTATAACTGATATATTTCATAATCCAAAACTGCCTTACAGAAGATTTAAAAAGTAAAAATATTAATGATTATTTATAACAAGAAAATCAGAAAATCATTTTGCTTTTTTAATAACTGAATAAACTATATTATCATCTCTCAATAAGAATAGCTTTAAAAATATTTACTGAACTCTCTAATCATATATGATTTAATTTAAACCTACTTAAATTTTTTTTAAAAAAGACTCACCCAATAAGACAGGAGTGGACTTTAAATGTAAATTCCACATGTGTAACAATGAACGGTTGTCTTGAGTGCACTCTATCACAATTAGGTAGAATTTTTCAGAAAATCCACTAGGTGAGCTGCCTGTTGGTATTAATAATATTTTTCACTATCAACATGAACAAGTAAGACAACTTATTAAAAAATAACTCTTTTTTTTTTAAATCAAAACTCTCATCTACAGTTCCAAATGCAAAGTGGAATTATAGAATGGAATCAACTTCTTCATCACATATATTTGTATTAACTTAAAAAGTTTTAACAAGCATGCTATGCTTAAAATTAATTTTGAATTGAGAGGCTTAAAAATCACATATAGTCATCACTAACATAATGACCACATAGATTAAAACATATTAAGTAGGAAATTTCTGAACAGACAAGAACTATGTGATAGATACTTTAAGTCAACATATCATGATGAAAGTTGTGTTGCTAAACATATTTTGAAATAAGTAAGACCTGTAATGAAATGACCTATTACTGATATTTACCTAAAGATATACAGTCATTATCCAACATATTTCAAGAAAATTTTTCTTAGTTGAACTGCATAATTTATGCAGCACACAAGTTGTTCAAAATAAACTAAAAAAAATGCATCTATCAAAAATAGATCATAAAATCAGTACTTCATTATTGTCTGAAAAAAACTTGTAAAAAATGCTAGATTTTGCCTTGGCTGGTGTGGCTCAGTGGACTGGGTACCAAAAAAGTCACCACTTCAATTCTCAGCCAGGGCACATGCCTGAGTTGCAGGGCCAGGTCCCCAGTCGGGGGCACGGGAGACACAACCACACATTGATGTTTCTCTCCCTCTCTTTCTCCCTCCCTTCCCCTCCCTAAAAATAAATAAATATAATCTTTTTAAAAATGCTAAATTTTAATCCAAGTTATTCTTAATTATTTTCATTATGCACAAAATTATATAAAGAATATATTACAGAAACTATATAAATCAAAGAGCATATTAAGAAAATCAGAGAGCAACTATTATTAAAGTACAATCATTTTGTCCTTTCAAAATTGCATAGGAAAAAAGTTTTCAAAGGAGCACTAGGAAGGAAAGATAACCATAAATATATTATGAGACTAAATGAAAAGGTAACTTCAGTAATGTGTTCTGGGTGAGTCAGGCATTTAAATTACAAGAATTATGAGAAAAGGAAAGATAAGGGATTATAACAAAAGAAAAAATAATAGAATTAAATCTACTTCTAATAATTTTTCTAACGAGGAAGAATGCCCCAACAATAAAAAATCTGTGAAACATTTCTTCTCTTCTTGACATTAAAGAAAAATAAGATGAAAACATAACTCCTTGGGTATATGCTGGAAAACTCTGATAATAAAGATAACCATTTCTGAGTAAAAGTAAGAACTGTGAATATTTTAAGAAAAGCTAGGAAAAATACTTAAAGAAAAAAATTAAAAATTGAAGATTCATGGAAAAGAAAATGTTAGAAAGGATGAAGATCATAGCAAAGCTAAACATTAAGCACAGGACAGTAATTTCTCCAAAAAGTCTTACAGAGAGTTATATTGTTAACAATACTAATATTTTTATTAATACCTTAATATAAAAAAGGAAAAATAAAGAACATTTTGTTGATATAAATAACCCTTTATCCTGTACCTGACATCTCTACTTCCCATTTTTTAGCATCTTTCCATCATTATATTCAGAGGTTATAAAAGCTCTGGAAGTGTTTTTGCACAGTTCATGAATTCTCAGGGAAAATGATAGAAGACTAAGCGAAAGCAGTGAGAAATTAAAGTGCAGAACTCAAAGAAGTACATCTCAAAGGAAAAGGAAAATAGAAAACATCTAGAATAAAGAATGTACACGAGGAATAAGAAATATAATCTGGAACAAATAAAAATGTAGTTATTAATATTACTTGAAGCTTATAACTGACTTTTAAAAGAACTGGTACACACTATGTGGTTGCTTTATAAGGCAAGTCATTTTTGTGTTTGGTTTGGCCCTGTAGTTGAAAGTGATGACCAAGACATTTTACCTTTCTTTTTCTGTTTTGCTTTATGCAAATAAACAGTAAATATTGAGTGGAGGTATTTAAATAACTTTTAAAACTGTTTAATTATAAAACTGTCTTAATTAATACACTTAGTTTCTAAATTATAACTTAAAGCTTAAAATTATAGGTGTGCACATTATCTAGGTTGTTAGGGAAGGACCCTGCCCATCAAATAGCATTCGTGTTAATGATAAAAAAATTTATATTATTAAAAAAAATAATTGATAAACCTCTTTCAATTTCTTTGTTATTTCCTGATTAAGAATAAGAAGGTACTGGTATTGGACTTCCAGCCAAGATGGAGGTGTACGTAGGCACATTTTACCTCCTCACAACTGTAAGAGGGATCACAACTAATCTGAAAACAAAATACAACCAGAATTGACAGAAAATCGAACTGTATGTAAATCTAACAATCAAGGATAAAGAAGAAATATTTATTCAGATGGGTAGAAGGGGTGAAGATGGGGAGTTGGGACAGAGAGAATGCAGTGTGCCAGTTGTGGCGAGGCAGCAGCAGCTAGTGAACCAGGTGGTCCCACATTCACCTGAAGCAGATAAAAACTGGGAGGGACACCTGGGGAGTGAGCCATCCCAGTCCCAGAAGAGATCACACAGCCCAGGGTTCCAGCACTGGGAAAATAACATCTCATAACTCCTGACTGTAAAAATCAGTGACGGCAGGAAAATGAAGACAAATGTAACAAATTTATTTGAACAATAAAAAAAATAAAAAATTAAATTAAATTAATCCTTTGCAACAAGGACAGTGATTTGTCTTGTGGAGAAAATTGGGGGGCGAAGGGAGAGAGATGATGTGACTGCTAAAAAAAACAAAGAAAGAAAGAAAGAAACCCAGTGGGGTTGGGAGAGTGGAAGAAACTGCTGGTCTCTCAGGAGAGTCAGTTTAAAGGGCCCACAGGGTCCTGGAACCTACGCAAATGCACCTACTCTAGGATTCAGCACCAGGGCAACAGCTAGAAGCATGCCAGTAGCATACAGGGAGTGAGTGAAGTAACTGGATATGGGGTGAGAGCCAAGCAAATGGCATTGTTTCCTCTCAGACCCCTTCCCCACACACAGTAACACGAAATGGCAAAGTGGGTTGCCCTACCCTGGCAAATACTTAAGGCTTGCCCCTTACAACAGGTACGCCAAGATGGAGTCAAAGCAGCTCTACCCAATACACAGAGACAAACACAGGGAAGCTTCCAAATTGATGAGACAAAGAAATACCGCCTAAATGAAAGAACAGATTGAAACTCCAGAAAAACAATTAAGCAAAATGGAGATAGGCATTTTCTGATAACCTATCAGATGCAGAGTTCAAAGCACTGGTGATAAGGATGCTCAGAGAGCTCACTGAGTACAACAAACACATACGGGAAGAAATGAAGGCTACACTAAATGAAATAAAGAAAAATACACATGGAACCCACAGTGAAAGGAAGGAAGCAGGGGTGTAAATCAACGATTTGGAACTTAAAGAAGAAATACATAGTCAACCAGCATAGAATGAAGAAACAGAATTTTTTAAAAAATGAGGACAGAAGACGACAACTCTGGGATATCTTCAAATGTGCCAACATCCGAATCATAGGGATGCCAGGAGGAGAAGAGGAAGAGCAAGAAATTGAAAATTTATTTGAAAAAATAATGAAAGAAAACTTTCCTAATTTGATGAAAGAAATAGACATACAAGTCCAGGAAGCACAGAGTCCCAAACAAGTTGACACAAAGAGGGCCACACCAAGACACATCATAATTAAAATGCCAAAGGTTAAAGATAAAGAGAGGATCTCAAAAGCAGCAAGAGAAAAGGAGACACTTACCTATAAAAGGAGGTCCCATAAGACTATCAGCTGATTTCTCAAAAGAAATTTGCAGGAGGCAGTGGCAAGAAGTATTCAAGGTGATGAAAAGCAAGGACCTACAACCAAGATTACTCTAACCAGCAAAGTTATCATTTAGAATGGGAGGGCAGATAATGAGCTTTCCAGATAAGGTCAGGTTAAAGGAGTTCATCCTCATCAAGCCATTAATATATGAAATGTTAAAGGGACTTATCTAAGAAAAAGAAGATCAACACTATGAACATTAAAATGGCAACAAACTCACAACTATCAACAACTGACTCTAATAAAACAAAAATAAACTAAGCAAACAACTAGAAGAGGAACAGAATCATAGAAATGGAGATAACATGGAGGGTTATCAGCAGGGAAGAGGAAAGGTGAGAATGGGGGAAAAGGTACAGGGATTAAGAAGCATGATTGGTAAGTACAAAACACACAGGGGGATGTTAAGAACAGTATAGGAAATGGAGAAGCCAAAGAACTTATATGCACGACCCATGGGCATGACCTAAGTGAGGTGGGTTGCTGGAGTGAAGCGGGTACTGGGAGGAGGGGGGCAAAGGGGAAAAAAATTGGGACAACTGCAATAGCATAATAAAAAAATTACTTAAAAAAATAAAGAAAGATTCTGGTATTTACGATAAATAATGTCACAAACCTACACGGGAAAATTTTAACTTCATATTGATCATATGAAACATTGTATCAATTTATTTTTATTAACTGCCTAACATACCATACAGTATATTTCTAAATACATAAAAAATACATCTTTACCTTCATCAGATAATATTCTGTCTTTTGCTATACTTTTCTTCTTAAGGTTATTCAAAATGAAGTCTTCTTGAAAAACATGAAGTAGCTGGGTTTTTCTGCCTTGCTGAAGGTAAATAAAAAGCAATGTAAGTTTACATATATGTTATTTACCTAATGTTGAGTGGCCAGAAAAATAATACTTACAAGTTTTGTAATGGGATCTAATGCGATAATACATCCTGGTCTGGCTGTTGACTGTTGACTTACGATGTTAAACACTTCACCAACGTATTTCTGTTTTTAAAAAAATGGATTATCTCCTTTATTAAACAATTAAATTAAAAAATAGGAACGAAAATATGAAATTTCAGGCATAATAAATCAATAATAAGTATGTTTGATTGTAGCTAAGTAAGTTCTCGAGTCTCTTTCATATAAACATTCTAGGACTTTACCTTACTAAGGAATTACATAGGAATGAGTAAGAATGACAGTTTAGTTGGTACACAGAAAGACAAAAGCAACTCTTGGTAATTGTACTGGGGAAAAAAGTGTTTTATATCCATGAATGTGAAAGACTGACTTCAATCTCATGGGACTGTTCTAAAAATCAATACTTTTTAAGCATTAATTATGAGGTGAGAAGGATGGAGCCAAAGATACAAGCTGACAAACTGTTTAAGTATGTATGCTGATTTCTTGAGCCACTTATGTCCTGACTGCTGTAGTCAAGGTCATATTGTTAAATTCAATCTTCATCATACTTGATCTGTCAGCACATTTGATCCTGGTGATCAATCCATCTTCCTTGAAATAATTTTCTCCACTTGCCTTCCATTGTATACCACACTCATCCCACTTTTAACAATGGAATGGCCCTGGGTTCAGTCCTTCTATCACTCTAATTTCCAACTATATTCTCTCTCTCAGTGATCTCATCTAGTTCCACAAATTTAAATTTAAATTCTGACAACTAATATCTTCACACCAGCCTCTGTCTAAATTCCAGAGACTAGCCTACTGGATCTCTTAGCTGTCAAACAGGTATCTCAAATTAACATGTCCAAAGTCAAGCTCTTGAATACAACCTGTTCCAAAAAATCTGCCTCTTATACATTCTTCTTGGTTCAACTTGAGGCAATTCCATTTTTCCCAAGGGCTCAGCCACAAACCTTGGGAGTCAAACTCTCTTTCTCACACAACTCTATATCCAGCTTGATACTAACTATTCACTGTTCGAAACACATCCAGATTGGACGAATTCTTACTGTCTTTCTCACTGCCACTTGCTACCATTCTAAGCTCCTTTGGCTCTCTCTTGGATTACTGTAATAGCTTCCTGATTGTGTCCAATTTCACTTCTGCTTCCCTTGTTTAATCTATACAGCAATCAGAGTGATCCTTTTAAAACCTAACTGAGATCATATATCACTCTGACATTTTCTTCAAAGGGTTCTATATTATTTAGAGTAAAACCTAAAGTTAACACAATTGCCAATGAAGCCTTATATAGTATGGCCAGGTTAATTTTCTGACTCATCCCAGACTACTCTCCTGCTGCCTCTTTTACTCTCCTCCGGCCACAATGGTCTCCTTGCAGCTCCTTTACATACCAAACATGTTCTGGACTCAGGATCTTTGCTCTGGCTGTTCCTCTCCCATAATACTCTTCCTCTAAACATTCACATTGTTAGCTCCATCATCTCCTTCAGGTCTTTACTCAAGTAGCACTTTTTTTGTGAGGCTTTCCCTGACCAGCATCTCACTTGGCACTCCCTACTACTTTAACTACACTGTTGCTCTCTATGGAATTTATTAATATATTTTTACCTTTTCCCCCTATATCCCTTCACTAGAAAATAAGCTCTGACTTTTTCTGTTTTGGTCACATCAACATTTCCAGCACCTAAAACAATTCTGAAAAATAGAAGGCCCTCAATATATATATTGTTTCTACTAAAATGCTATATATGTGGCTTGAAAAGAACTTTTATTCTGTAATACTATGCATCAAAAATTTTTAAAAACTTAGGAATAAAACAGAATTGGAGCAGACCACTGATACCTATGCAATTTTGTAAGCAAGACATTAACAAAAACATTAATTGGGAGCTGAGGAGACAGCTTGAATCTCCTGAACAGGAAGCTCAGTATAGCTGAATGATAACTCAGGGAATATTTTAAAATACCAGAACCAAAATGTGAAAATACTGGCTTGCAGGAGCTTCTGAAACAATACAGATGGTGGGTTGCTATTAGCTGGGCACAAGAAGAAGTGCTGCCTGTAACAGGACAAAAGTTTTGCAATAGTGTTGAAAGGACTCCTGCCTGTAATACAACAAAGCTGAGAGCTTTTATCTTTCTTGGTTAAAATTAAAATCCCACTCCTGTTATTCCAGCTCCCCTTACCTAAATAAAAACAAAAAAACTGCAAATGAACCAACATAAATTCCACAGTATACTGCCATTAGTTCTCATTTATCTCTGAACAAAAATTATTACAGAAACACATATTATAAGGCACAAGACTTTACTTCTGCATAAATAAAAGAAATGGTTTCTTTTTAAAGGAACTTAGAATCCTGTAATGATACATGCAATTATGAAAAAAATAAAATAAAAAACGTACATGTAATTATAATACATGTAATATAATACAATTATATAGTCACTTTAGAACATGCCCAATAAGTATAAATTAAGTACCTAAAAAATCATATAATATGCTTATTTTAAAAGCCATTTACTTACAGAAATTTCAGGATTGGAAAGCTCACATAGAAGCTTCTTGGCATCAATAACTGCTTCATATAATCTCAGATATTGTCCATCACTTGCTACAAAGCATGCACTAGGAGAGTTGCAGTATGCACCTACAAAGTATTTATGAACATTTAAATCCTTAAGCAAAAATGTCAGAAAAACCTAAAATTATTAAAGAAAAATCAGAATGCTTACCTAGACAGTAACTGGGTATAAGAGTAGGCAGCCATGCCACATTGGAAAATGCGGAAACATGAAGAGAATTAATCCGGGCAAGCTCAGAAACACCTCCAGAAAAAGACAATGGCCCAACTGGATCAACTCTCCAAAGAATTAGCTCACTATAAACTGATTTGGGGTCCTGAAATGTTACATCAACGGTGCTTTTATTCTGTTGTGCCAAATCTTCCGTATTTAAAGCATCATAAGGTAGTTTTTGGCTATCAATATCTGGTGTCCTTAATGCATTATGGTGTGATGTTGTCAACAATAACGGTAGTACTGAATGGCAAGCTAAATCATTAAGATGAAAGCGATGACCACAATATCTGGATTTATGTGAAATACTAAGAACTGTAGAAAAAGCAGATTCCTCAGCAAAACTGACTAGCCACTGATTCAGAGAGCCATCAGCGTGCTTTGAAATCATCATTACATTAGGGGTAAAAATACTTAATTTTAAGCTATTAGTTGATTTACTGTGACCAGCAGAGATAAGCATTGATGTGGAACGTGTGAGGCCAGAAGGCTTTTGTTTCCCTTGCTGAATAGCCAAGTCAACATTCTTGGTACAGGCATACATTACTATGCTTTTACAGAGAGAGTTCGCATCACCTGTGGGGAAAGCTACAGGGATTCTGGAAACAAAGGACACCTAGAATTAAGAAAGTAAGCATTAGAATGTATGAACTTATACAAAGAATTATTACAAAACTGTACCCACATTTAACAAGTAGCTCTCCATAGGATCAAGTACCTGTACTTGACGAAACATACCAGGCTGGTATTCATCCAGCCAATCCACATGCCAAACCAGCAATGAGCCATCCATGGGATGAATACTGAATAGCATGTCTGCATTTTTACTCCATTCAGACAGAAGTACTTCAATCTGATGATCAATGGCAGCTGATGGTAATGGTACAAAACTTGAGTCTGGTACCATTTTATCACCACCCAATTCCTTCTTTTCATGATTTATTTTCAGATCATCAACACCTTCATCGGTTTCTATAAGCAAAAGGGTTCATGAACCAAGTAAATACAATCAAGCTATTACTATAAATTAAGAAATATCTTTAAAAATGCATTCAAGATGAAAAACATAATAGCTTTCATAAACAAGAAATGGGCTCTCCTTTAAAAATAACTTTGTTCCAGGAATATAAGGCCACTGGTATTAATGAAGTAATCAGAAGGCCTATAGGACTGAGCCAGTAGATTACTGGTAGAAGGGCTATTATTGGACTGGAAAAGAGGTAAACTTGTTTCTAAACCCAGTGCCACAATTAACTACTCAAAAGTGAGACACACTATTTCTCTGAATCTTAGTTTTGCTCATGGTAAAATGAGGCAGTTGAAACTGGGGCTATAATTCTGGGCTGAATTTTTTAAATATATTATTGAAATATAATTTGTACTTTTTTCATAATATCAGATTTATAAAACCTGAATCTGCTATACTAGCTATCCTCCAGGCGTAGGTACTTATAACTGATACATTTTAAAGAAGCGGTTTAAAGGAATACACTTATACTGAACAATTTCCAGATTTTCTCCAACACACAGGTAATCAGAAAAAAATTGGTACCACTCTGGCAAGGTGACTCATTTGGTTGGAGCATTGTCCCATGCACCAAAAGGTTGTGAGTTCAATTCCTGGTCAGGGCACACACCTAGTTTGTGGGTTTGATCCCTGGTCAGAGCAGGTATGGGAGGCAACCAATCAATGTTTCTGTCTCTTTATTTCCCTTCCTCTCTTTCTAAAATCAGTAAACATCTTCAGGTGAGGATTTAAAAAAAATAAATAAGTAAATAAAAATAAAATAAGCTGGCATACCAACTTAATACAGGTAAATATGTATATCCTAACCTCTATTTCAAAAACCCTGGCCCCATTCCTCTTTAGGAATAGAGGGACTTTCTTTAAAAAGACTAAAAAATGTTAGACTGTTGACCAGATTTTAAAAATTGGTCAAGACATATAAACATTTAAAAAAAGAAAAATAATGCAATAGAAAGTCAGGCAAAGGGCACGAAACGACAAACCACAGAAGGGTTAAAATAATTCTGTTCAATATGCTTCAAGAAAATGCCAAGTAAAACAAGATCCCATTCTCCCTGTATTTATTGGCAAGAGTAATATAAAGAAAATATCCAGGGGTGGCAAGACTGTGAAAAAATAAATAAACTGGTAAAATGTTTCTGGAGGTCTATTCGGCAGAAGTTACTATGCTGTACACTTGAAAATACTAAAAAATAGCATTTAAAAGTTAAATTAAAAAATTGACAGAAGTTACTGAAATTTGAAAGTTTATACTCTGGCAATTCTACATCTAGGAATCTATGTTATAGAAAAATGCACATAAATCTGAAAAGATGTATCACTGTACCATTATCAGTATAGTGAAAAACAATTTAAATTGACTTAAATGTCCATCAATAAAGGAAATGCTAAAGTTTTCTCTTGACATGGAATACTCAGGAACTTAAAAAAAAAAGATATGGAAAAGTTTCCATACTGAATTTAAAAAGCAAGCTGCAAAACACAACTTTTGTTTAAAGCCAAACTCCCAAGTTAAAAAACAAACAAACAAAAAAAACCCCTGCCTATATAAATATGTTTGTAGGAAGAAAAAAATAAATTTAGAAAGACACTCAAACATACGGAAACTTTATACTTATCTATTACATTTGATTCTTTTTCCTAATGAGCATGTACAATCTTATAATTAAAACTTTTTAAAAGCAAAAACATTTATTACCCACAAACTGTAGCAGAGGTGGCTAGTTGGCCATCACAAATTTGTGCTTCCTAGTCCTTAACCTAGAATGTCTGGCTACCCAGTCAAGGACTACAAGGACCCTGTGACTAGTGCTTTATAATGAAAGGAGAAAGTGATATGTGCCAACTCTGAGTCAAAGTTAAGAAATAGCTATACCTTCTCCTCTCTCTCCCTTTCTGTCTGACTAAGGGGAACTGCAGAAGAGTTTAAGCCCCTAGTGTAATGCTTCTCTAACTTTAATATACATACAAATCACCTGGGGTTTGTTAAACTATGGATTCCTGTTCAGCCGCTTTTGGCAGCTAAATTGTGCACTTCTAACAAGCTCCCAAGTAATGCCAATGCTGCTAGTTCACAGATAGTCCTTTAAGTGGCAAGGCCCTAGGGGCTGACCCAAGCCTAAGTGTGGAGAATCCTGAGTTCCTAACTCACCATGTGGAAGAAAGCTACCTGGAATAGGAACATCTACAATAAATTATTCAATGAGCTAGTTCAAAATGGTAGTATACCATTGCAATTTGAAGTTTATTTCTGGCAGTAGCTAGTGTTACCCTAATACAAAAATCTGCTATATTCAACAAATTTTACATTTTGCATCCTTCTTAAAGCTTTACCTTCATCAGATTTTACATCTGCCTGATTAGAGTCTTCTACACTGGCCTCAGAAGACGGCTGTTCAAAACTTTTTCTAATTTGCTGTAAAAAGACTTCCATGGACAAAGTAAACTGTAATTCTTTATTGTTTAGCCAGTGTACCACAAAAGGTCCACTCTTCTCTTCATTTTCACTTAGACTTAGAGATGTAATAGAAGGAAGAAGTGGAATGTCTGTAAAGAACAACAATAAAAAACAAAAATCAAATTTTTATCATTCTAGCATACAAAACATCCAGGTCTCACATTTTTATTGCACTGTTAAATTTACCTTTAAACATCTGTAATATATTTTATTTAACCTATAAATAATATGCCCAACATAATGTTTGCCAACAATTATTATTAATGATAGCAGACATAAGTGGTAAATTTAACATACCTATAAAGGAATTAAAATTGTATATTCTGTGTCACAGAGCCTAATTTATTTTTATACACATGTTCTCTAATTCTAAAAAATATTCTCATAAGAAATGTCTATTATTTGTAGATATCTTAACAGGAAAATTTTAATTTACACACACACTTTGATAAGAAACCTATTTTAATCTGAACTACCATGCAAATGCTACCAATATAATGTCAAAGAACTAGTGATTTATCTTAATAGCAACAACTTTCTTTCTTACTTAATAGACTGGCATACTAACTTTTTTAATGACCCATCCATCTAATTCTAAGATAGACCCTGCTAATTTATTAGCATCAAGATTAAAGCTGGAAAGAGAAATTGAGGTTCCCTTCTTATATTCAGAAAGGCATTCAAAACAAACGAACTCAGCCTAAAAAAAAATTTCCTTGGTATTACTTTTGAAATACTTGCTAAATTAAGCATACTAAAGTTTGAATTCAAAGTAAGTTATGACAAATGACAATCCTTATTAAAGGTCAAAAAAATTTTGTCTATCATATTAAATCACATCTAAATTTAGCTCATGCTGTTATCTGTTGAACAGTAAAGGCTGAAATGGACTGAAGGAGTGTAAACTGATTCTATGCTTCGTGAGAGCAAGGATCACACCAGTTTTGATCACCCCTGTATCTCCAGTTCCTACCACTATCTTCAGTCCCTATATTGGCAGACTAAAAACTCAGTAAAAGCCTTGAGGCACTGAATTGCCAATTCCATTGTTCCTAGGTGAAAACACACTAATGCTAGGGCTTAAGAGAGTGCCCCCAAGAATTATATTGGGTAGGATTTACTCATTTTTGATTTACAATCAACCCAAAAGAGATCAACAACACCTCTAGTGGACCACAGGCCTAGTTGTTAAGTAAGTTCACAAGAAAGAGGAACTAATACTGGCTTTTAGCTGAAGCATTCTAGGAAAAAAGAAGGAGAAGAAAGGAAAAGGAGAAGAAAGGAGAAGGAGGAGAAGGAGAGGAAGGAGAGGGAGGAGAGGGAGGAGAGGGAGAAGGGGCGCAGGGAAAGAGGAGGAAGGGGAGGAAGGGAAAGAGGGAGAAGAGGAGGAAGGGGAAGAGGAAGAAGAAGGATGGAGAAGGGAGAAGGAGGGGGGAGGAGGAGATACCTCACATTTCATTTGTCTTCTGACCTTAAAGCATTTAATTAAAGTCATTTTTTTAAATGAGAAATCTTCATGGAAAGGATATAAGAACTAGAACTAAGAGAACATCTCTTAGAGCTCTTCTCCTGTTTCTATTTCTATTAATGGGCAAATAAATGAAGCCAATTCTGAAAGTTTGTCCTTAAATAAGAAAGAGTATCCAGAAGGGTCATTCCAATAGCTCTAATTTTGGGATAGGAATTTTCCATAGGGTCTATTCTAACTGCTAATAATAATATTTTGCTTTGATTTGCTCTACACATAGAGATTTTTCCTTAGGGACCTACAAGCTAAGAAAGGTTTTTAGGAAGGTAGTCAAGGAGATGCTACATTGAAACTAAGGGTTTCCTTTTCTGTAATCCCTTAACCTTTTCCATTAAAGTGAGAATTCAAGCTTTTTATGTTCTCAGAATATTGTCTTTTACTCAATATAGACTCAAAGTTATTCTACTGACCTTAGAATTGCCTCTGGGTATAATAACCTTTGTCAATGTATATATTTTGATAAAGGTAATGGTATTTTCCAAGCCTATATAATTTTTTGATAAAAATAATCAATATTCTCCCCTTCACATTTCCTTGGCTCATGGATTCTTTTAGAGCAGGGACTATTGTCTACCAAATAAAAGCTAAGAGAACCATCAAATACTCTTAATTCCTACCACAAGTATCTTTACATTTTAACTTATCAGAGCACTCCTCATTTTTATTCAAGTAACTAATGGACCACATTTATAGCTATATTTCTTTAAAGAATTCAGTGTGTTATATGAAAATAGGTGAGCTAAACTGTGCTATATGAAAATAGGTGGGCTAAATTTATACTTAAGAATATCCCTAAATACATAAAAACTCATCACTAGTGCTGATCTTCTGGGGAGAAGGACTAGGGTGGGATAGAGGTGAAAAATGGCTTTTACTTTTCACTTTCTTTACAGATGGCATTAATCACATGCAAATACTGTTTTTCATTTTTCCCCCCCGGGAATAGTCTAAGGTTCTACTTTAAAGGCTCCAAATGTGATCAGCTGGGGGAGGTGTTCATTCTTTTTTCTTAATCTTTATAATATTTTTTTCCATTACCAGTTAGTCCACTTATACCCCCTCCCCCCAGCAGTCACCATTTACTAAAATGATGAGCACTTAAATTCTTCCATTCAGATATTCTAGATCTGTCAATCTAACAGTACTTATTTGACTAGAAAAATAAGTTTCTTAATTCTCCCAGTTACAACTTCCACATATTTCTGTTCTAATTATGAAATGGCTCCAAAGATCAAGTACTAAATACACTGGTTTTATTTTAACAACTATACAATAAGTATAAAGCACTACTCTTGTGACGTTAACCTGTGTTAAGTATTAGCTCAAATCTCAACTTTAGAATAAACTAATAAAGAATCTAAATGTCTTATCAAGATCTTAAATCATAAACCAAATCATAGCCTTAAGGACCAAACAAATAAACTAAAACCTCGCTTTGTGTAATCAGCAAGTTGGCTATAATGAAAACTTAACTAAGAAAGTCATCTCCAATATTTTACCTATTTATAACTGAAAGTATAACTAATTTGTTATAAAACCAATCTACTCAATTCCAAAAACATTTTTTGAACAGTGCTTTATTACCTGTGGCTGGGTTGATGCTGGCTGCAATATGAAAGTGGCAAAGTGCATTGGCATGCAGTGGAGTGTTCCTGTGGACATGATGAGGATCCTGCTGATGTGGCAGGTATCCGGTATGTGCTACAAGTGCAAGAGATCTCCTTCGGCCTCTTCGGAAATGTCTCAGATTTACCTGTGTGAATGAATCAACAAAGTAAAACTGATGCCTATATTGTCAATAAAGATATACGTATAGGTTACATAATGATTGTTAGACATTACAGATATTCTATTTCAGATGAGTTTATATGTACAAATATTTTTCAGCAGTTTTGTATAGCAAATTTGAAACTTGAAGAAGCTTAGAACTTAAACTGCCTGACTCTTAACTATCACACAATACGCTGCAATTTTTATTTGATTTATTTTCTGGTAATTAATTTCCTGAACTTAAAGGCAAAGTTTATAATAGTGTATCTGTAGGCAATGATGTCTCTGTATATGTATGCTGTTTTCTTTGTATCCAAAGCTTACTCCCTATGACCACAAAGCATGGGATAATATTACCATAATAAATTAGGTGGTATTTCATAATTTACAAAGGATTTTCAGAGATCATCACATTTGACCCATAAGGCAGACATTGCAAATACTGCTATCTTCAATAAATATTGTTACTGTTGTTTTCAGATGATAAAATAGCTTATACAGAACCCGTGGTCTAAAAGTAGACAAGAATCATCAGATTCTAGCTGTTGAGTCTCCATGCATTATATATTTAATAATAATCAGAACCATTACAATACTGTTCTAATTTGAAAAATAGGTGTTCTTAATCATACAAAGCATTCAAAGATAAATCATTTTTAGATCACTTCCTGTTTTCAATATTAAGAAAAATAATAAAAATAATCGGTATTGCTAGGTTATGTTCAATTAACACAAACATCAAAAACTGAATTTACTTTCTACACTACTTAATAAAATAAATACTCCAACTTCAAAGGGGCCCTAAAGATAACTGTAGAACAGAATCTGACAAACTAATCATTCCTATAATTAAGACAGAACAAAACACCCAAACTCTTCAAAAAAATAAATAAATAAATTTTACAGTCACAGCTTTGCTTTCTCAGATTTTAATTTACTTTGTTATTTTAGCTAAGACAAGGGTAAGCATCCTTTTTTTATCATCAGTAGAGCTAATACTAACTTCAGAATTATAAGTAGTTTTGTTCTAGACCAAATCCTTAAGAACACTTTTTAAATCAAATAAAACTAAAAATTTTCTGAGATCTTCCTAAGACATACATGTTTTATAACTATCTATATGACTTTGAATATCAATTAGGATCAATGTTACAAAAAAGCAATGTACAAAAGGTTTTAAAACTTGTGGGAAATAACATCTAATAAAAATACTCACATCTAAAGTGTTTTGAACTCGTTCTTTACTAGAAGCATTTCTCTCAAAGTTATTTGTTAAATTAATTGGTTCAGTCCAATGGTTGCTTTCTCCTCCATATAGTAAACTATCATTTGGTAAAAATGTCTCTACCCAAAGACGACACACATTATCTTTGCAGTAAGTCAACAGTACATTACATACAGAAGCCCTAAGAAATAAAAAGATTTTATAGGCAAAAATATAAATTTAATACAGTACCACATTCTATAATGTTTCTATAATGTACACAACTAAGGTATCAATTAAGAAAATATCAAGGTACATTTATGCAATGTATTTAGTCAAAACCATTACAATCGAGTGGGTATTTGATTTCATTACATCAAATACTTGTTAACCTATTTCTTTTCTGCCTAGAATTTAGTAGTTCTTGTTTCAATAATCTAAGATTCTTCTTACCACTAAACAATGAAGACTAAAATCATGATATAATCACTTAGTAAGCAAAAGAAAACCACATCTATTTAAAAAAATCTATTCAGTGGATGGTTATTTGAATTTCATAATGCTTTATTTTTACTTCCTATACACGCATATGCACACTAGTCACTAGCAGGCTACATAAACTAGTACACTTATCCTCTCCTTGCCTAACACATATGCCCAAAGCAGTCAAGTGCAAGAATAGAAAATTCATGATAAAATAAGTACAGCTACCTCCTTCCTTAGTCATTCTTGATTTTTGGTGAATTTACTGTCTTGAAACCCCACAAAATAAAAGCAAAACCAACTGCACATATATTAATAAGCTCTATAAGCATCAAGAGTTTAAAGGTTGAAACTCTGTCAACAAAACTACCTCTTACTGGGACACTCAGCAAATTTAGAAAAGAGGAAAAGAAAGTTACAATATCCTGTAGTAGACACTTATTCAAACATATTTGATTAAAAATGAATGATCAGCAGAAGGCTTCTATCAGTAACTCAGTAAGTTAAATTTTTTAAAACAGAAATAATATTCTGTAGCACTTTGTTAAACATAGCTACCTGATTAAAAAAGAATGCGAACAAAGGGGAAGAAAAGAGAGAATGGCATGTTTTGTCTTGGTTGCTCTTCCCTTCAACTTTCCTCTTCCTTTGTCTCACCTCTCTTCCTCCTTCCCCCTTCCTTCCTGTCTTTCTCTTGTCTACTTCCCTTTAGACCCTTGCCACTCATTCCCTGGACTTCTCACCCTCAATTCTCAACTTGTCCTCCTCTCCAGGCTACCTTCCCTTACCACTTCTCTTCCTTCTGTACCTTTACCTCTCGCCCCTTCCAAAAGTGCCTTCTTTCCTTTCTACACTCTGTTTCTCCCTTCCCCATCCTCATGCCTCTTTCTCCTCCTTTATGTTTTCTCCCTCTTTTTTCTGTAGTCCCCTACTCCCTCCTCCTACCCACTTCCCTCTGTTTCTCTCTAGTATGTTCACACATAGAGGCAGTGGTAATGAGATTAAATGTAAGTAAATAAACAGAAAAAAATACTCATACATCAAAAGGAAATATAGAATATTCTAAGTTCACAGTTCTAATTAGTAACTGGAAGAATGGAAAGGCTTACCAAGGAAGAAAAAAAAGTAGGAGACTAAAGGGTTGAATAGAGAGCAAGCAATCAGAAGAGGCATAAGAATTTAGGCAAGGGCAATGAAGTAAGCAAGAAAGGTGCACAATGAAGAAGCATGGAGAAAGCTTTGACCCTAAGATATGGGTGGTCCCTGGTGACTTTCTTCAGGAAACTAGGCCTAAGGACAGAACATGTAAACAGCTGGCAGGTAATATATAAGCAGAATATGTAAGAAGTACTCTGATTTGTTTCAGTCATTTCTCTGGCAATACCTTTCTTCCTCACTTCTTCATCAAAGTATCTTATTCTGTCTTCAATGGCATATCATGCTCAGGTATAGCAAAAAAAGAAAAAGAAAGAAAAAAAAGGTATAACCTTATAGAAGGCAACTATGTGATAGGTAAGTGTCTGCAACACCCATCCTATTTTGATGTAACAACAACAGGCTAAGACAGTTTAAAACTAGTTATCTAAAACCAACTTCTGGAGGCTTCTGGAGGATATTACCAAATCTCCCAACCTGTTCTACATTCATCAATTTTTAATTAATAAAGAAGTATATGCTTATTATAAACACATCTCCATTATTCTCTCTCAAGCCAGCAGTCCATTGAACAATATTACCACTTGGTTGAGTATCTTATTTTTATGTGAAAAACAAACTACCTGTATCACCCAGTGAAGATGTCATAACAAAAAAGAATAATGGTCTTTGATGGGCTCTCTCTCATTTTCATGAGAAAGGGTCAGCCTTCCCACTATCTACCTGCAGGCAGTAGGCAGTTAGTAAAACAAAAGTGAAAACTGAGGGAGCTCAGGGAGGTTGGCTGGTTCTTAAATAACAGGGATCCAAAAGTAAAGTTCTGGAGATTTCTAAAAGATGCCATAATTAACAGAAATTCTAGTTCTATTTCCCTATGCTGCAAAAATTAGTTGGTAAGAGATCAAATGAACACAGCAGTAAAAACAAACAAACAAAAACTGGTATGCCTCATTGTTATCAGGCATTTGCAATGGCCCAGTTTAAGACATCTGCCTGTGACCATTTTTGCCAACACTGAATGAATATGGTCAGGAGCAGGTGATGTGACTGTCCTTTCCTGAAAGATACCATACTTCATAAGCTCTTTTTAAAAAATGTGCTGGTAATCTATCTGTGAACAAAAACACTTGGACATATCAGAAGAAATCAGCCTCTGAAATGATGTAATCTCCAGATACTTCTAAAAGGTTCACAGTTTGCAATGACAGCTATTTTTATTCAGGTCATTTACAATCTTTAAAAGAAGACTTAATATGTCCCACAGCTCATTCTATTTTAAACACATTTTTATATAAGTGGGCAATGCTCTCAGAGGTACTAGAGCAACAGTTTTCTAAGTGAAGGTAGGCTGAGGGTGCTTTTGCTAACAATATAGGTTGTCTACAGCATTTTCCTTAGTTTAAAGATTGATACAGCCTCCTAAAAACAGAACTATTACTGTTCCTAGAGTGTTCTGCTCCTATGATTTCCTATATTGGAGGGCTGGGGTAGGAAGAATGATAACTATTACACTAGAAAATAACTTAAAAATCTAGGTATAAGAATAATAGATAAATACTATTTTACATTTGTCCAAACCCATAGAGTGTACAACACCAAGAATGAACTGTAATGTAAACTATGGACTTTAGGTGATACTAATGTGTTGATATAGGTTCATAAATTCTAACGTGGAAGATGTTGACTTCATGGGAGGCTATGCATGTGTGGGAGCAAAGGGTACATTGGAAATCTCTACACCTCCAATTTTGCTGTGAACCTTAAAGTGTTCTAAAAAAAATCAGTCTAATAAAATCTTTTAAAAAATCTAGGTATACCCTGCTGTCTCAGTAGAACAAAACTAAAGTCAACAAATGATCCAGATACACTACCAAAGATCAGCTTAGGGCATCTCAGGTGAGAAAAAGATAAAGGAAAAACTGTACTGCTCTATGTTGAGCCCCAATTGAAAATGGCCATGTGGAACAAAAAGGGATTTCTCCCTATACTTAAGTAACAGGTCTCTATAACTTACTAAGTATAAGCAAAAATTCAATGGGATATCAAGTCTTTAAAGTACTACAGGAAAGAAAGGAAGTGCTAACATGTATAGGTGGGTTTGTGCATGTATTGTATAGGTTAAACTAATACCTAGTTCAGGGAATCATAAGGTATAACCCTCTCTTCCTCAAAGATTTTGGGTTTAATTAAAGAAGTGTTTGAGGCCTCATGGTAGGTCCTTTCAGTAAAGGTATGGTTTTTTTGCTTTTTTTTTTTTTTTTACCCAGAGGTGATAGACATAGAAGGTACAAGATGAGGAAGTGAGATGTGAATAAGTCTATGCAAGTAATGGAGAATGATTAAGGCATAAAAGAATTGGATACATAATACAGAAAAGAAAAAGGCGCACAACTCTGCCACTTAAAAATATCTGATATGGAGGTAAGTATCTTTTCAGATGGTTCTCCTCTTTAGTGTTAATCACAATTGACTTGTGGTCAGAGGTTCACAAGCCAGGGACCATCTAATATTACTTGAATCTTCACAGGCAAAAGTCCAATGTAAGAAAAATAGTCAAAGTTACAAACATGATGTTCTCTTAATACATGGGAAAAACTACTAATCCACTGACCTAGGCATATATTTGCTCGTTTTACGCCAGGAAAATCCATTTACAGCTCGAGGATGGGCCAGATATACAAAAGAAAAGTCAATTTCTCCTTGGGATTGTTTTTCTGAACTTTTATCTGGAGATGTAACAGCTGTCCGCCAGTTTTCTACATTATACCATACCTTTAAAAGACAGTCATCCTAAGAGGGGAGAAAAAGCAAAAAACATCCACATGAGAATTAAAGATTAAGTTAAATAGCAAATATAAGATTTTTCTCCCCAATCACAGAAACATAAAGATGGGAGAAGAGGTTGGTATGGAGAAACTGAGGAGAAAATCTTGAATCTGGTATTTTTTTTTATTAGCATTCCTTAATTGTGCTTTGAGAATTAAGGTGTGTGAATATGTGTATTTTGCAAGGGTTGGTTCAAAGAAAATTCTAGTCACCTTATAGTATGGAAAATAGAGTCATTCAGGAAAGACTGAAAGATGAAGTTAAGGTTCTTTTTCCATTTAGCCAAGTATCAAATAAGAAAGCATTAGCAAACTTAAAAAGACTGATAATTACTGAAAACAAAGGACAGTTTTCATAAAGTATCATATTAATGTTCAAAGAAAGTGTTGAAGGTGATAAGTAGTACTTAACAACTACTACTATATAAAATAATCTAAGTAAAATCAAAATTGCATCTCTAATTTGGGAAGGGAAGTACAAGGGAAACTAAAATGTACCAGGTTTTACTCTTAGACTATAATCGCAGTCTCAGCTATAAAGTCAATCAGAATAAACAATTCCACTTCTCTCCTAAAAAAGAACCTCTCTGATGATTTAGAGTATCTCACATTCTTAATCTATAGAAGGCTCTGAGCAATAAGAATAACTTCAGTTGTGCATTAATTGCTCTTTGTACCAATAATTAAAAATAAAACCATTTCAAAGAAATACATTGTATTGAAATCAATAGGTAATAACAGAGAATGATTACAAATATCTTCTAGAAAGTCTGAATTCTTTTATCTTAAATACAGCTTAATATATCCATCAGCTCAAAGATATTATAAATAGTACCAATAGTTTATTGACAGTATACTACATGCAAGACACTACACCAGTCACTTTACATACACTGTCTAAATTAAGCCTATGATAAATGACCTGAAATAGATATTATCCTAAGTTTATATATGAGAAAACCAAGGCTCAAAGAGATTAACAATTTACCAATGTCAAAAAATTGGTAAGGGGCAGATTATAATCAGATTACCTTTAAATCTATGCTGTTTCGACTATAACATACTGCCTTTCAACATAATATTATGCCAATTTTTGCTATTTAACATTTTAAACAAAAAAAATTTTCAACTTAAATAAATAAAAGAATAAAACTGCTTAGTTTCTGAAATTTCAAAATAAATCATAAACACAATTTGGCAATACCATTTTCATAAATTACCTTCCCCGCAGTGGCAAAAAATTCTCCATCTGGTGAAAATTTCATTAAATGAATTTGGGAAGCAGTTCTGTAAATTAAACAAATAAGGAATAATATTCAAGGAAAATTAAATAACAGAGAGAATGCAAAATTACTCCACTATATTCAGCAATTTCTTCAAATAATAAAACTTTTTGATAAGACAAGTTTCACACTCACTGTTAAGCTCATAAATTAAAAATATAAAACTTTAAATATAAATTTTTTTACATAAAAATATCCATGCATAAGAATCATGCAATGGACAACTTGTTTAGTCTTTAAAACTTAAGAGCCAATTCTCATTCCCTCAGACTCTGGAAATCTAATTTCAAAAGCCATAGATAATATGTATTCTAAGGTATACTTTCATGGACAAATCAACATTTTTAAATGAATTCTGTCTTAAGGTGGTATTTGATTAAAGATTTTATGTGGATTAATGACCATCAAGGACTCATCCTGCCAGCTTCATCTATATGCTTGGTGAGTACTTGTTTTTCTTTTCCAAGGAGATTTGGCTCATCTTCCTTCATTGCCTTCCCTTCTGGCTACCCATATATGATGATCTCAAGACACCTTTCACTATCTTTGCCTTCCTTTTCTTATCTAAATTCATGCTTAGAGAGATTCATCCTAAAATTATTTGTAAAGTAGGCCAAAGTTGAATTCTATCACAGTTCATTCCAAATACAAATTACCTTTTTCCTGACTTTAAAAGTTATAAATACATAATAGAAAATATTGATGCAGATGGCTGAGAAGAAAATGAAATCATGTATAGTTTCACTTATACCATGACACTGATTCCCAGGAAGAACCACTCTTAATGTTTTAATACACAGACTTCCAGACGTTTCTGTCCACTCTCCCTTTCTATCTACTTCCTGTGGGAGGGTATAGAGTAGGAGGGGATGGAAACCAAGGTTGTATTAACAATTTGCTTTGTAACATTTATTTATTTAAGAACGTTATGGACAGTTTTGCATATCAATACGTGTATATCGGCATTATTTTATTGGCTTATGGTATTCTATTACACATATATGCAATGATTTGAAATCATTTAATAATTCACTGCTGTTTTCTCATTTTTCTGCTTTAAAAAATGGTGCAATGAGTATTCTTCCACATGCATTTTTATGCATCTGATTAGTTCTAAGGATCTCTGTTCTTAAAACAAATTATTAAAAAATGCCTGGTCTCCAGGATTGTGATCTTGCCCCTCCACCCCACAGTCTTCTCTCAAGAGAACAGCTAAAACAGTTTTTAAAAAAGGAATCAGATCTCAACACTCTCTCTGCTGAAAATCCTAACAGACTCCCAAATCACTTAGAAGAAAAAGAAAAAACCTCACAATAACCTATAAACTCAGTCCTGACTTTGATCATTTCCCCTGTCACTCCTCACCATGTTCACTTTACTTCGGGCACAAGCTAAGCAGTCTTAACACCTAATGTTTCCTCTGCCTGCAAATTTCTTCTCTCAGAGATATGCACATATGGCTTACTGCCTCACTTCCTCCAGGTCTACACTTAGTGTCACCTCTACTCTTCTTCCCCTTATCCTACTTACTCTCTCTCTTACTGACCTCTTCATCTACATGGGTAGCCAGTTTTAAATTTTTGCCTCCATTTAGTAAGTTATAGAGACCTAGTACTTAAATATAGTTAGTGTAATATTCAGCTAATCCTAAAATAAAACTTGCAGTTTCTTGTTTCATGGCTTTTCTGCCTACTTAAATGACAAACCAGCTCAAATAAATTATTAGTCTGTCTAGCTGGTTACTACTACTGTATACTCTGATCTTGATTTAACTTAAAATTCTTCCCCTCTCCCAAATAAATGAAATACATTTCAAATTCACACTTAAACCCATGGGAGCTCCTTACTAGATGTGCAATGAAGGCAATATAACACTCTGCTGCTCTCTTCCTCCCAATTTCCTATAAAAGACCAGAACAAAGCCATAGCCCTTTCCAAAGAGCTATTTTTGCAAAATTCTATTCCCTTTTCACATGTTAACTTTTTTTAATACCCATGATCTAGCTGAGGGGTATAAAATACATGGAACCAGCGCCTTTGAAATCTCCTTTGTAAATTCTATATATAGCAGGTCTGTGTTACTCTCGTTTTGGTATCTGATATGTATCTTATTATTGCTTCATATAAAACTGACTCAGAAAGAATGACATTTAACATCTTGTCATACCAGTTTACCAGTTATTGTCTATCTCCCCCAATCTGTTCACTGCTATATTCCAAGCACTTTTACCAATGCTTTGGAACATGATAAGAACTCAAAAAATATTTGTTGAATTAATGAATGAAACTTAAAATTGCTATTAAAGGGTATGAAAAAATTAAGCCTGCTAATTAATACTTCTAAATTTCTCTCTAGAAAGATAATATGAATTGCACTCCTTTATTAACAGTATACAAAAAGAGCTGTTTCTCCAAACACTCATCAGTAAAAGGTGTTAATCACCCTCTTTCTGGACATTTCTTGATTTCAAGTGAGGTCAATCAACTCTTAATATGCTTATTATTCATATGTTTAATTTTTTTCTCTTCATTGTCCACTTTAGTTCACTACTGAGATATCTGTTCTTTTTAAATTAATTTTAAGACCTCCATTTTAAAATGGCATTAACCCAAAATTGCAAATATTTCCTCTCAAGTTTTTGTTTCTTTTTCTTATGGTCTTTTTGATTTACAGAAATCTTTTTAAAAGCTATCTATCCTTCCCTTTCTTTTCCTTTTTCCTTTCCCCTTTCCTTTCCTTTCCTTTCCTTTCCTTTCTGTTTCTAGTTTTGGTGTCATACTTTAGAAAGTCTTTCCCTGACTCTACAGCAATAGAATATAAATGACAAATGTTATCCATATATGTAATTTTAAATTTCCCAGTAGCCAATTTTAAAAAGTAAAAACAGGTGAAATTAATTATATTTAAACTAATATATCAAAATATTATCATTTCAACAAGTAAACAATAAAAAATATAGGGTATTTTACATTCTATGTGCTAAGTTTCTGAAATCTTGTATTTTATACTTACAACACATCTCCATTCAGACTAGCTGCATTTGAAGTGCTCAATAGTGATATGTGGCTAGTTACTACCATACTGGATGTTATAGCTCTAAAATATGAAAATTCACCTATATTTCTTTCTAATATTTGTTTCATTGTATAGAAATTCACTGTTTCTTTCCATTGACATTTCTTTTGGTGCCAGATATGAAACATACTTTACCTTCATTTTCTCCCCCCAGAGCTAGAAAGTTTGCCCCACTGATGTAAAATGTCACCATATATATTGAATCTCCATATATAATTGGGCCTATTCATGAATCCTAATTGGTCTGTTCTTGTATCAACAACAAACTGCTTGATCAGCTGTGCTTTAGAATCAATTTCTCTATACTAGTTGTCTTTGTTCTCTTTTTCTCTCAGAATTTTCTCACATTTTTCCTGTTAAATAAGTTTAGAAATATGCTCAAAGGTAAAAATTCCAATGGGATTTTGACAAAAATTATGTTTAAAATATAGATTACTTTGGAAAAAATATACCTTTTGACAATAGAAAAGCTTTCGTTCAAAAGCATGAAAGGTGTTTCTGTCTTACTCCTTTTGTACAATTTAGCAAGTTCTACTTAATGATCATCATGTAGGCCTTACACATTTCTTAGGTTTTCTTTGTAGTTGTTTTAGTCAACAAGTTTAAAAAAATTAATATGTAGAACATGGAAAATGATGAATCCTCTTTACATAAGAAAAGGCTTATAACAGAAATTAGAAAATCAATACTTTTTATGTTAGTGTAGCTTTACACAAACTAAAATGCCTTTACAATGAACCACATAGAACAGGTTTGTCAATTTAGTCCTCTAATTAATTCCTTACTTGCAATGCCAAATGCATCTCCAATCCCCAAAGTTAAGATCTGTTTTATCTGGATTTTCATCTTCAGTTGGCTTTTCCACGTTAGCATTGGACCAGAGTTGCAAACAGATGGAACCAGTTAAAAGACGATTGCCTAAAAAATATATATTATCCACCATTTATTATTTAGGTATTTAATTAGTGAGTTAAGTTACATACTCAATAGTTTCATATAATACTATAAAAATGAAACAATTTCTAAAAAACTCAAATAACAAAAAGAGATTGGGGAAGGGGAGTAAAGCCGTATTTTAATTTTGTTGAAGCAGTTTGGAGAAAAGAGATCTTACAATCTCTCATTCAACAAACATTTAATGAACATCTTCTTTGTAAAGGTATTGTGCTAGGCATGGAGGATACAATGACAAATACAACACTGTCCTTTTTCATGAGTTTATATTCCAGTGGAGAAATATTATGAAGAGAGGCATGAAGACATGTGAATTCAAATTAATCCCCAAAATGGCTTGTAATCTAGGATGGATAAGAAATAAGGTGCACAGCAGACTTGGAAAAATAAATAAGGCTGGAAAAAAATCTGAGGTCAGATTATGAAACATTTTTTACATTCATAAGGAGTTTGGAGTTTGTTATAGGTGCTTGGGAGTTAAAGGTTTTTAAGTGGAGGGAGAGAGTTTACATAAGTGGGTAAGTATTTTAGAACAAGGAGTCTCAACTGAGGGGAGGAGTGTCAACAGAGTCCTGACCAGGCCTGTGAACCTCCATTCACTGAAATATGCAAAAGTTGTATATATAGTATGTGCATTTTTCTAGAGAGATAATCCATAATTTTCATCATATGGTGAGTACTTTCAAAGATTCCAGTACTCAAAGAAAGGTAAAGATCCATCTAGAAAATAACTCCACTAAAGGAGAAAATTAGGGAAAACATAAGACAGAGGAACCTGGTTAATATTGATGGGAATTATACTGATGGGAAATCAGGAGGATCTGAATCAAATATTGAAGTAAGAAGCAAGGATTTGAAAATTATTTGAAAAGCAGTATTTTCAAGGCTTAACACCAACCAAAAGACAGAAATATAAAATAGGTTTCAAAGATAGATTTTTCAACTTTATGACTTGGGTGGAAGATTGTGCCTATCATCCAAACAAAGAAGATAAAAAAAGAGGATAAAATTTTGGCCAATAAAGCATTCACCTTGGCAGTTAAGGACTATAGACTGGTGTCTCTCTAAAAACATCCTTTTATTTCAAAAGGAAAAGGAGTCTCAGTCAAAATATAGACTTTAGATCAGAAATCCCTATATTTAATTCCCAAATAAGTCACTTAATTAGCCATGTGAATTATCTATTTGGACAGCTTTTGAGCCTCAATTTTCTCATCTATAAAATTAAAAACTTGTGTAAAGTTGTGGTAAGGCTTACCTATAATATGTATAATGTATTGTGTTGGCCGAAAAGTCTGAATGGTTTTCTCCGAAAAATAAAAGACAGATTTTTCATTTTCACCAGTGACTCTATTGATCTGGATACTTTGAGTATGTCAGCTGTCTCCCACATGGTAGAACGCTAATTGTTCTTAATTAATGTCTTAATTTGATCACTGTCAACTTCAACCAGTCTACCTAACCATGGAGCATCGTTCAACAAGAAATGTCCAGCATGAACCTTGACAAACCACTTTTGACATGTTCGATCAGTTACAGCACCTTCTCCATACACTGCACAAATCTTTTTTTGTGTTTCAGTTGGATTTTTACCCTTCTTGAAATAATAAAGCATAATATGCTGAAAATGTTGCATTTCTTCCATCTTTAATACTAAAATAGCTACTCAAATATTCACCAATTTTGATTGTCTTTTTTAAAAATGCACTGATATGGCAGCTGTCACAATACAATGTAACAAAAATGTTCTGAATGTAGTTAAAGACAACTAAGTGCTACTAGAGCCATCTTATGGAAAAAAAGCAATTGAACTTTTTGGTCAATCCAATATTTAGCACAGGCTAGGCACTTAGCAGAAGCTCAGTAAATAGTAGGATCTAGATGGAAAGTCTCACAGGCAAATAAAAATAGTCTAGAAAGTAGTAATGAGGCATTCCATTTAAATAAGATTACTATTCTACCAGTTTAGCTTACCAACAGACACAAATTTCTTTTTGAGATATAATTGGCATATTACATTATATTAGTTTCAGGTGTGTAATGTAATAATTCCATATTTGTATATATTGGGAAATGATCACCACAATAAATCTAGTTAGCATCCATTACCCTGCATGGTTACAAATTTTTTCCTAATGATGAGAATTTTTAAGATATACTCTCTTAATAACTTACAAATATATAATACAGTATTATTAACTATAGTTATTGTGCTGTTCAGTACATCCCAGGCTTATTTATTTTATAACTGGACGTCATTATCTTTTGACCACCCTCACCTATTTTGTCCACTCTCATTCCCCATCTCTGGCAACCGCCTATCTGTTCTCTGTACTTATGGGTTCGATTTTTACAAGTTTTATTTAACACAAACTGAATATAAAAGTATCCCATGAAGGATTAAGAATTTAATACAAAATACAAAATAATTAATCTCAGGTATAGAAACAAAAGTAGGTAATATATGGTATAAAATATATTGATTTGACCACAAAGGGCAGAAGTATGGATACTGAAATAGGGAAAAAATAATAAAAGCCTATGACAGAAAATCTTATGACTTAAAGCAAGATGCAATAGTGGGTTTAGAGACAACACAAAAACACTATAGTAAGTTTATTAGTATCATCTGAAAATAATTTCTTTATATCCCAATACCTGGCAAATAAATATGTAAATGCTGTTCAAACCCCAAATACTAATATTTCACATAAAATAATTAAAATCTTTTTATGAATAATACAAATTTCATTTGCAAAATAATTATACTAATAGTTCCCGGATATTTATCATAGCTAGAATCTATTCTTCAATTGAATTCTAAGTTTTAAACTTTTCAATATTAAAGAGAAAAAAATAAATTTTTGTGTGATTTTTAGCTCAATTACAGTTAAAAAAGATAATGGTCATAAGCTGTTGTAAAGTCACTACTAGATATGTTAAAAAATAAGTAATTATCTTTTAATACTACTCTGTAATGATGATTTCAGAGAAATTTAACATTAATACTAATATTAGTACTAACAGACAATAGGTACAAAAATTCCAAAAACTTTACACTTTAATTTGACTTAGACTGTCAAATTAAAAACTGACAACAGCCAACATAGTAACTGTCCAGTGTGAATAAATCAAAATTATACTTATTTTTTGTTGAGATCAGCAAAATATATGGTATATTTTTTGGTGGGTCTCAGAATTTTGATAATTAGTTTATAAGTGCCATGAGATGAAATAGGTTGAAAATCACTGTTCTAGATTCAAATTCCTAACTATCTACTGGATATTGCTATATCATATGCAAGTATCTCAAATTCCACAGATCCAAACAAAACCTATGTTCTACTCTCTCTAACTCTTGCACATCACTCTTCTTCTTGTGGTCACAGATATCTACAAAGTCATGTGAAATCTGGTTGTCAAGTAATGTCAATTCTATTGCCTAAAGGCACTTCATATCCATGTGCTCCTTTCATTATTCATTCAATATTAACTGATACCTATTATATATGTTAAAGGCACTGAAACAAGTTATTTCTCATTTAGACTACTGTACAGGCATATTTTCCAAAGGTAATTATAATTATGTCATATAATATTTATCCTCCTGTTCCTCTTGCCTCTGATCCTCCTAACTCTCTGCTACCAGAACACTCTTGCAAAGCACATGTCACTAGCTACTTTCAAAAACCTGTAATATTTTTAGATACTTAAAAAGAATTAAATTCAAATCCCTTACCATGACTTTAAAGTACTCTTCTAATGCTGCAATATTATTTCCTCATCACCAGATTTACTCCAGCCTCAATGAAGTACTAACCACCATTAGAATCTATCTTACACTTTCTTTGTGCTTTTGCTCATTGTGGTAGATTGGTAAAAATGGCTTTGAGATGGTTTCTAAATGTAGAAATAGGTAACTGGAACATACACACATTGATATTTCTTAGAATTCTTTTTTTTCCCCCCTCCTACATCTACGCCCACCCTTATTGTTAAATCCATCTACTCTTAGGTCAAAAGGCTCCTCTTCAATTAAACTTTGATTCTCCAGAGAGAATTAATGTGACCTTCCCGAAACAACAGGTATTCCTCCTACACCTGGACACTGTTGCAGTGCATCTTCATTTCACCATATGCTCTAAAAGAGTGCATTCAGTTTTATTACTTTTGTGTTCCCTACCATTTCACACAAAGCTGGACTGAAATACATAAAAGTAATAAAAACAATGACCTAGGAAAGGGATATTTCATTTCAGTTAATCCTACTTGTATTCTTACCTGCAGGATCCCAAGTTATATTGTGTGCTATTGATTCCAGAAAAAACTGACCAGTTTTCTGCCATTGACTATGTAATTCCTAAAATTTAAAAAAGAAGGTCATTTATCCGAATTATTTTTAGTATATTTTCTCTGACAAATGTATATGTTCATTATGATTATTGTTAATAAAACATGCAGGCACTTTTTTTTTAGGTATAATTTACCATGCAGTCATCTTTTAAGGAGAAAATGTTCAATCCTGTCCAGAAAAATAAAGAGTCCATGATGGAAAAGATTAGAAAGAGAATATCCATTCCTGGAGGTCCCAAAGTCTGTCTTTAAATTATTTAAACAACCAATAAGTATATGCCACCTTGGACGATATTGTTACTGACCTTAGACCTTTAAGTTACTTTATTATTATTGTTACAAAGATTTAATTTTAAATATATCTATGTCTCTGCTACTTAAGACTTTCTTCCTTTTTAATGCTTTATCCTCACCTGAGATGATTCAGTATGTGTGAAAAGTGAGATTAAGAGATGTTAACACCCATTATAATGTGTAATTTAAGTCTTTTCATTCCTTAAAGGAATAGTTTTCAACTTTTTTTTACCTGAAAACCAGTAAGAAACATATGTTGCACTGTGACCCAGAATATACATAACATACACATAAATGCAATCGTAAGTAATCTACCCTTATTACACATGATGTGTTCTAATATTTTCTATTCTATTTCATTTTCTTTTACATTCATATTGTGGCCTACTAACATGATTTCACTAACCTTTAAGAGACCCATAAACACTCTCTTAATGTAGTGATTCTTATACTTTAGTACAAGAATGCACAGTAGCCTGGATGTTTATTAAAAATTCAGATTTCCAAGACCCATGTCCAAAGGTTTAGCCTCAAAAGGTCAAAGCGGTGCACAGAAATCTGTACTTTAAACCAACACCCCAGATGATTTTGACACAGATGGCCTACAGAATATGCTTTTATAAAACACTGCCTTGCAGGAATGCCTCTCACTCACAATGCACATCAGAACACTCTCTAGAAGTAGACGTACAAGTGCCTAGACACAACTACACACCTACAGATTTAGAATGCCCCAGGGCAGAAACTGGACACATGTATCAACAAATGACTATGAACAATACTTCTTACGAAGAACCACTGCCTTAAAAGAATGTATCAGAATATACAAAGAAGTGAAAATAATATCTTTTTTATGAGGATCTAAAGATTCTCTGAGACTATATCCTGGAATAACAGATTTTGGATGCCTTCGAAGTCTATGATTTTTCCATCTAATCCAGTTTTTCCTTTATTTAACAACCTTTTTTTAACCCTCTCTGGAAGTCTATCTACCAATAAATTAGTCTCTTCTTAATGAATTTTTGACACTATTATATCAAAATATCATGTAACAAGAATAGGTAACTGAAAAATCTCAATTCTACCCTTACTAATATAGGCATTTTAATGTAACACACAGATCTGTTAAAAGTTATTTCATTTAACAAATATATTGAGTATTATTTGAAATACATTGTTCTGAGTGGAACGACCAGTTTTAAAATTTATTTTTAGTATTGTCAGTTACAAATTCATAAGGCCACAAGAACTAGAGCTTCTAATAACGGAGTCATTAAGTAATGTATAAACACAAAAATCAGGGGAGAATTGTGGACTCTCATTCCATAAAATTTAAAAATAAGTATCAATGCAGAGAAAATACTTTTCATTAACACAAGGCAGAAAAAAGAATGCTCACATTTAAGAATCAATAAAGCTGGTTTTACTCCTAGTTCTATGGCTCAATAGCTATTTCGCCTGTCAAATCACATTTCTTTTTGGGCCTCTGCTGCCTTTTTTTTATAAAAAAGGAAGTAAGAGCTGCAAAACTAAGCCAGAGGAAATATGTAAAATACTAACAAGTGAAAAGTGAAAACTATTAAAAGATATATAAAGGCATGACTATTATTAAAACGCTGTTTAATTCTTTACATTTAACAGATTTCTACATAATCTCTGACATCATGTCATCCTTGCAATAGTCCATGCTGAATGAATAAATAGTAACCAATTTCAGAATTGAGCAGAGCCTCATAAAGCTCCTTGCTTAGAATTAAATACTTAAAAAGCAGCAGAGAAACTCCAGTTCTCTGACTCTTAACAAATGCTTTTTGGACCACACTATACTGATCTTCTTTCATATGGTTTAAATTTCTAGTTTAATCTTCAGTGGAAATGGGTAAAATAATCTGGCTTGTCTGTCATATTTAAAAGCATTAAAGCATCCAAGAAATCTACTATATCACTTCAATATTTATAAACTACTGTTTTAACCAGCTTCCAGAACTATTCCTGAATATAATGTCTTTATTGGAAAAAATTCACTGGCCTGTTACCAATTATATTGCATGATATAATAAGTATAAGAAAATAAGTCCTGGAGGTATATTAAGACTGTGCAATTAAAACCTCTAACTTTAAGAAGAAAATACTTATGGCCAAAAAACTACATAAAAGTAGATCACAAAAGTGAATAATAAAATGCCACATATGATTAGAAAATGGTGCTTGCACTAGCAATAACTTTATTATAACTGCCAGACTTAAAGTTGTTGACTCTCAAATATAAAGAAAAAATTTCATAAAAACGTAAAAAATATTTCAAGATAATTCAATGGCACAATTTAATTTAATTCAATTTCAATGAAAGATTTAAACATTCTTAACATGAAAATGGCATTTAACATTTATCTTTAATTACAGTGTATAATTTATACTGATTTATGTAGTGATGACTCTGATTTTTGTACTCTAAAAAAATCACATCTTTTAATATTCAAGATACTTCAGTTCCTAAAAGGAAAATAATAAGTTACTGACCAAATTTTTCTTTTGCTTCTGGAGTTTAACTGGTTCAAAAACAGAGATAATATTTCCATAGGATGCTGCAATCTTTAAAAAAAAAAAGAGAAAAATCATGAATATGTTAACATACTTGTGAATCAAAAAAGCAAAAGAAACGAATAGCATAAAAAAAAAAACCTTAAAATATGCTCACATGTGCAATTTCAGTCACCAATACTTGAGAATGTCAGTTTTAGAGACCACCATGCCTGGATCAGAATCCTAGTACACACCATCACTTACTAACTGTGTAACTAGCAAGTTAATCTTTATTAACTTTAGTTTCTCTATTTATATTTATAATATGTAAATACTACCTTCCTAATAGAATTATTTTGATTATTGAAATAACATTTATAAATTATCTAGTATATCATTATAAGATGCATTGTAAATGTTAATTCTCTTCCTCACAGAAGACTATGTGTTGATGTATTCCTTGTCAAATACAAAATTTGACATGGCTTAAAAACCAGTTTTTGGCTCAGTTGGTTGGAGCACTGTCCCATGTACCAAAGGGTTGCATGTTAGATTCCCGACCAGGGAACATATGTAAGTTGCAGGTTGGGGTACATACAGGAGGCAACCCATGGTATTTCTCCCTCGTAGATACTTCTCTCTTTCTCTTTCTCTCTTTCTCTCTCTCTCTCCCCCTCTCCCTCCCTCTCTCTCTCCCTCTCTCTCGCTCTCTCTCATTCTTTCTCTCTTTCTCCAACCCCTCTTCTTCCCTCTCTAAAATCAATAAGCATGTCCTCGGATGAGTATTAAAAAAAAATCAGTTTTTAGGTTATCAGTCCTCAAAGGTTACAATTCTGTGAGTGTATATTTAACTTTTTAAAAATAAAACTTAGATGTGTTCCTTTGTGAACTAGGGAGTGTGTTTAATATTCCATTTTTTTTTAGTATGTTTAAAATTTACTCTTTAAATCAATGGAGCATAACCCTTGCTGAATTGGTTTTATAAGGTTGCTATTACTAATGTTTGAATGTGTCAGAAATGAAGAACACTGAAATATCAGGAGATAGATAAAGTGAATCAGTGATAAAAATAAGAATATATAATCTACTAAAGGGAGGTAAGGAATGAAGATGTAGCATACATATGTGAAAAAGCTTTCAATGGATACATTAAGTGTTCTGAGGAGTTCTTAGGATATAGAAATCATCACCACTGAGTTGGCCTGGGAGGACTGTTTAGTTTGGGCCTTTAAAGTGTAGGTAGTATTTCTTCAAAGTTAATATTAAATTTTAGAAATAAGGCATAATATGAACACAAGTGTGAGACTAAAAGAGGCACTTTATGTTTGGAGGTGACTGACCACGAGCCAAGCTAAAGTAGCATTCTTTACAACAGAATAAGAAACATGAAGCCAAAAAGGCAGGTTTGAGCCAGTCATACTGGACCCTATGACCAAGGTGAACATGTAGAACTTCCCCAAGGTAATGGTAAGCTAAGAATGTTTTTAAGCAAATGAATACAAGATAAATGCAGATGAATTTTCCAGGAAAATTAATCTAGTAGTACTATAAAGAAAAAACAATAATGATAACATACTGATGCCGATGGTATCAAGCAGCATTTCCTTCTTAAAGGCAAACAGAAGCCCCCACGTACTAGAACCTATAAAATTTTCTTCCTGATACCTAGGAAATCATTTGATTATACTGATACTAGTTAAAAAAAAGTCTTATCAGAATAATTATAAAACCAAATGATTTCTTCATTCCAACATGAACTGTCATGTAATCTAGCCACAAAAAGATAACTCACATTAGAAATTATTAAAATTAGATTTCCAATATTAACTAGCCCTATTCAACAAAATAAACTAACGAACAAAATAAACCACAGCCATGGAAACATTGGAGCAGACTGAAAGTGACCAGAGGGGATGGGGAAAGAGGACAATGGTGGAAAGAAAGGGGAAGGGACTAGACAAAGAACATGTATGAATGACCCATGGACATGGACAACAGAGTGGGAATTGACTGTGGGAGCAGGGGGTGGAGGAGGAATGGGTGGAGGGGGATAAAAGGGTAAAAATTGAGACAGCTGTAATAGAATAAACATGATTTATAAATTTAAAAAACAAGAATAAAAATGTAAAAAAATTATTAAACTTAGATTTCCAATATTAACCAGCCCTATGTGTGTCTAGATGGTATTAATACAAGTGAGGTTTTATACAGTAATGAAGATTACAGAACTATAGAGGTAGGAGATCAAACAAACCTGAAGGAAAAAAAAAGTAATAATTTTTGGCATTCCATAATTAAGATCATTTTTATAATACAGTGAGAATGAAAGGAGTGAACACAAGAAAGATAGCTAGAGATACTCGTACCTATATTAAAAGAAAAGGGACACAGGAATAAAAAAGAGTGGTCAATAACAAGGTAGAGACTACAAGAGTCAAAACTCATTTACCATGAGTTTCTTTAAAGAGGAGGTCCTAAGAAAGAACTTTCCAGACTGGCAGGTCTATTAGAAATTATTAGATTTTTAAAAAAGTATTGGGTCCACTTAGGTTCCTTACACAAAATGCTCTGGTGAAATCATATGGTCAAACAAAATACTGAAATATCTAGCAAAAAAATTAAATAGATTTGTAAAGTTCATCCCAGTTTAGCCTCTAGGAACCCAGTCCTAGGTCTGGCCATCTATTATATTGTACTATATTAAGCTGTATACTATGATGCCTATTAGTTATGACCCTCCCAATTCTGGTTCTATATAGAACTGTATTTAATCTGATAAAGTATCACATACCATTTCTTTCATTGTTGCTATTTTGCTTTCAAGGTTACTTTTTACTTTTCATATGCAAATATAAGTCCAGATAAAAATTTTCATTTTTCTTATAGACTTGCAATAAATTAACAAAAAATTGTAGACTTAAGAGTTTATATTCATTTTAGTACAAAATTTATCCAGAAGTTACAAGGAGATAACTACCTGCTTGCAGACAAAAAGAAAAAAATGACTCTAACAAATGATTTCTCTTCAGTAGTTTATTTGTAAATAGATGGAAAATTATTGTCATTCCTGTCCTTCAATCCAATCAATTTTTAAATAAGAAAGCTTTATACTTGTTATACATAATGAATATTAAAGTTCTCTGCCAACTCATAGAGAATATTATACTTTACTTCAAAACTATGTAAGAATAGAATTCCTGAAAAATCTCAAAGATACGTTAGAGAGAATCAGGGATTTTGTTATCTTCAGCACACGTAGGGAGCCAAAGAAATTTGTAGCCATATTGTCCTTAAAACAGAGCAAGTCTCTAATTCAATAGGAAATGTACCTCAGAAACTATCCTGGCATAAACCATATTCAGAACAAATCTCATTATAGGACTACAAACCTTGCCTTGTTGCATTGAACAGTCTACACATCCTACTTGAATATTTCCATGTTTAGCTCCTGGGATTATTTGTACTCTTTCAAAATCACTTCCCAGTATAACAATGTCACATCCAGATGCATAAGCCTGAAAAAAAAGGGAACAAAATAAAATAAAAATGTTAAAATTGTCAAGAAAATATTTATCATGTAAAATACTAGCATTAAATTTTACATTTTAAAAGATTAATTTTGAATTTTTAAAGAATATGCATTATTTGAGAATATTTCCTTTACCTCTCATATACAGTCCCATCAGCAAATTCAATCAATCCTATCTGCAAAAAAGTACCAACTCTGTTCACTTCTTCCTTCTCCACTGAATGCCACTGTCCCTGTCTAAGCTCATCCCTTTCCTGCACTACTGTTAAAAGACTCTGACTGCTTCCGTTCTTTCTTCCCTTTAATTTCTCTCCAAAGACAAAAGTGATCTTTTAAAAATGTTTATTACACCAAGTAATCTTTCCTGCTTAAATCCCTTCAATAGTTTTTTTGAATGAAATCCCAACTCCTGACCATGGTCAATATCCTAAATGACTGTCCACATTCCCCAAAACCATCTCAAGGTTCTCTTTCTTTCCCTCAATTGGCTCCTGGCCTTATATTGCCCTTCTTTCTGTTTCTGAGACATATTAATCTTTTCCACTTCAAGGTGGTTTATCTAACTTTTATCTGCCTGGTCCTTGTCTAGCTAGTTTCTTTTTAGTATTTAGGTCTCAGCTCTTTACCTACCTCCCCTCAACCACCTCCTTCACCCCACCCCTCTCTCTCTCTCATTCCTTTCTATCACATTACTATTTATTTTTCTGTGTAGCATATATCATAATTTGTAAGTATATTTCTTATTATCCATTTCTACTACTAGGCATTAAGTCCCAAGACAAAAAGGTAGGGTTTGAGTTTATTTTGTTCTCTTCTCTAGTACCCAATTCTAACTGAAGGGCCTGCTTTATAAATGCCTGTGGAATGAATGTATTTAATTTTACAAAGACAGTCACCATAACCAAACAAAATAAAAGGGTATATAGTTCAAGGCTTCTTACCAAGTATTTAATAGCTCTTTTTGAATCTCACAATAAACAGAATTCTTCCAATACTTTTTGTGCTCTTTTCCATACCTTCCTAGGTCACAGGAGTTTCTTCTGTTACACAGTACATGACTGTCCTAAAATTAACATGTTATAGGCCCACATACAGGCTAACACTGATTTAAAAAACATGTATCACAAACTAATTTCCATCCTCTTACATTCTTGAAATTTCAATAATTTTTTATTTTCTCATCACCTCTGCACATACACATATACCTTAATGCAAAAAAAAAATTATGCTTAATATATATATTATGTCTTTAATTCCTACCAAACTCAGAATTGTCCTGTACACAAGCTACTAAAAATATTAAAAAGGGAATTGAGAGAACATACAAATAAATTTGCTCACATTACAGACAAGAAAATGATGCCTAAATAGGTTGACATAACTTCTTAGTGGCAGAGAAGGCTTTAGAACCCTGATCTCTTGATTCCTGAGCTAGTGTTATTTCCAGGGCACTACAGAGACTTCCCTAGTTAATCATGCTTGCCTGGAATTTTCCTAAAAGAAATCAGAGATAATCAAGACTGGTTCCACTACTGTCACATAGTGGAAAAAATTGGCTCAGTAAACAAATTTAAAAAAAAATCTCATGATGGCCTGCTGACCTATACACATGTCCACAATAGGATCATAAGGCTTGTCACAAGACTATTAGCAAGAACAAAAAACTGATTTATTTCAAGAAATTTTTTTATTCATAATACTCTAAATGCATTAATATTTTAAAAACTTTTAAATATTAAATTTTGATAAATACAAGTTATCAGTTTCCCCAAAATATTGTTTTGAATTTTGAATGTTTACAACTTATATTTCCTCCTCATTATATATTAAGTCTTCATAATTTTCCTTTCCTTTTGTTGTACCTGTAATTATTTACCTACTTTCAGATATTGTGCTGTAATTATTTTTGTTAACAGTCACAACTCTCAACTTTCCAGAATTAAGTCTACGTTCTGATGTACCTCACAAAATTACTGTTTAATACAAGTATTAAACATTTGTAGAGTTGAAAAAATGGAAAACTATCTCAGAAATACACTTAGTCCTATGAAGAGGAAGATGCCAACTTATAATTAACCCTTGATCATGCAAAGACGTACCTATTCTGGATTACCCTTGTTCTTTTGCTGCTGCATTATATTATCATTTGACTATTGTCATTCATATTGCCATTTGACTTTTCCTTAGTGACAGTACTACAAGGTACAAAGATGTCTCCTAGTTTTGCTAAACTTTAAATCCAATGAAAATTATTGATCTTCATTTGGAATATCTTTCATTGAATCCTCACTTTCTTCTCCCAGAGTTATAACTCATGTGTGGCAATAAACTAGTAAATGGGGGGAAAATAATATAACCAGCCACACTCCACATTTCACAAGCTGACCATTATGCTTGAGGCTTGTAATAAAGATCCTCTAGTTTTTTCAACTATTGAATTTAAATGCTTAGTTTATTTGATTATATAAGTAGATGTGGAATGCATGAAAAACTCAAACCATATCTGCATTTTATTCCATTTCTTAATCACTGTCAAAAATTTATAACTGTCTCCTTAAAAATCCTGCTGTGCATGTAATACTTGTTGAATAAACTATGATAACCACAATGGAATATTATACAGCTGTAAAAAGAGTAAGGAAGACACCTATGAACTGACAATGGTGCTTTCTAGGAGATATTAAATGGAAAAAAAACCCAAAGTAAAAAAGGGCATATATAATGTATGTTATTGTGTGTGTGTGTGTGTGTGTAAGGAACAACTTAAATAAGAAAACACACAAGTGTATGCTTCTGATTATTACAAAAAGAAACACAGGAAAGATAAAACTAGGCAATATTAAGTTTGTTGCCAACAAAGAGAGTTTGGGAAGGATGGAGTGGAAGGGATACCAGAAAGAATAACATTTCTGAATATAGTTATGACTTTTAAAAACATAAACATCATACATATTCAAAAAATTAAATCCAATTGATGAGAATGAAGGGGCAAGTGAAACAAATGAACTAACTGCATTTCAAATGAATATGAAAGCCACACCTAAAGAAAGAAGGTAGGAACAGCCTAAGTTGCTTATGAACACAGAATTTGACCATATATTTTGTCTTGGGTAGCTAGAAGGAAAAAGCTAGTCTTCCTCCTGTGTTTTTTCTTTAGTCTTCTACTACTACCAAATTCACAAACTTCTGAGTAATGTATGAAGGTTTTAAGCACACCAAGCAATTCTGTGACACCAACTGGGTGTCCTGCAATAGAACTCGGTTCTGTCATTACCTAGAGATAGTGTCAGATCCTACAGGTAAAGAAGAACTCAGTCTTAACTGAGACTGCCCTCCACTTCAGATGCTTATCACAAGTACTAGGACCCCAGATTATCCACAATTTGTCCAACTTCGCTACAAATCAGAGGTTCCCATGACCTTCTCCTTCTTGAACAAGATTATTTGCTAGAACGGTTCACAGAACTCGGAGAAACACTTAGTAACATTTACCAGTTATTAATTGATAAGATAACAGATACAGATAAACAGCCAAATGAAGAGATACAAAGGGCAAGGTCTGGGAGGGTCCCTGGCATAGGAGTTCCTCAGTCCCTGTGGAGTTGGGCCCTTCTGGTACATTGATGTGTTCACCAAACTGAAAGTTTCCCAAACTCCATACTGTTGGAATTTTATGGAGATTTCCTCATGTAGGCATGATCAATTATTAACTCCATTTCAGTCTCTATCCTTTCTGGAAATTGGGGGGTGGGATTGAAAATTACAAGTTTCTAATCATGGCTTGGTCTTTTTGATGACCTGCCACCATCCGGGGAGCATCCAGGAGCCCACCCATTTCCCTCATTAGAACAAAAGATCACCTAATTTACAATGGTTTCAGAAGCTCTGTGACAGAAACAGGAGAGGATAGCTGGTGGCAGTGGCACAGAGACTGATACATATATTTTCTATTACCTCTCAGGCTGGGTAGGGTGAAGAAATACAAATTCTGAACTCCTTTTCTAATTTGTTAAATTGTACTGGTACAAATGATGCAATTTTAAAACTTTTTTATATGTGTTATGGAAATGAGCCACAATTCTCACTGTATAAGAACAAAGATATGAAACGGGAGAATAAACAATACAGTTATGTAAGGCTGGACAAGAACTGAAAATACTGATATAAAATCATGGCTTCCAAAATATACATACAGTAAGTTCTTAACATCATTAATAGGCTCTGGGACTTTATGTGAAACTACATATAACAAAACCATTTTTGTTACAGGTTAGTTAACTTAAACAAGAGTTATATTCCTATGGCATTTCATTGACATTACACCCAAATGGCATTGAATGAAATGACATTATTCAAGGACCTGCTGTATTTTTCTGTATACATGCCAATATATGTTTGTACATGTATATATTATGTGTGTATGCTATATACATATACATGTATATGTTTATTAATTCTGTCCAAAGAAAAGGCCAGTAGCAATGAGATCAAGCACCTTGATCTGGGATTCTTTCTTTTTTTTTAATTGTTGTTCAGTTACAGTTGTCCCCATTTCTCCTCCCCACTCCCATTGCTCTGCTTTGCCCTGTCCAGCTCCTGCTCCTAAAGATACTGTCCTTGAACATGGGTCCTTTGTACAGGGTTCCTTGACTTGACCCTTCTCCTTCTTTACCTTATCCTCTTCCCTCCTCCCCTTTGGCCACTGTCAGTTTGTTCCTTATTTCCACGTCTCTGGGTTTTTTGGGGTTTTTTTGCTTGCTTGTTTGTTCTGTTGATCAGGTTCCGTTTATAGGTGAGATCATATGGTATTTGAATTTCACCACCTGGCTTATTTCACTTAGCATAATACTTTCCAGTTTGATCCATGCTCTCGCAAAGGGTAGGAGTTCCTTCTTTCTGCTGCATAGTATTCCATTGTGTAAATGTACGACAGTTTATTGATCCAGTCATTTACTGATGGGCACTTAGGATGTTTCTAACACTTGG